TGCAGTAGACACTAAGGTCAAAATTTGATGACCATGGTCTTACTCATATGTACTTCAGAGGGTATCATCAATTTTTCTCCTAAAACGGCCAGCAATTCCTGAACTATTTCCTAATTCCAAGATAGCAATTGCATGGACATTTTCCAAAAAGTGTATTACTTTTCTGATATAGATAAATATTCCCTGAGAACTGAAATGAAATATCCCCCCAAATTAATTTCATCTGTAACTTCAGTCATTACAAATTATGCCACAAATCCACTACACTCCACGATCAGTTATTAAATCCCCACAGAAAGCTTTAGTATCTAGCCAAGTTTAAAACTTTAATTAATTTTTATTTTCTAAAAAGATGCTACACAATTTAGATACTAGCCAGCTGTCCTAAGCTATGTACAATTGGATCTGGGAAATATTACAACTTTATCTTTTCATTTAAAAATTATTTCATAGTACTTTAAAGAATTAGTTTTGTTTTTTTTTTAAAGTTATTCAAAAGTAAAATAAACATCCTAATTTTGACACAGCTTGCTAAAAGATTCAATATTATGGAGCATGGAAACTTTTGTGTGCAGAAATATGTGAAATAAATTATTCATGTGCTGATAATTAAGACAAGATTATAAATTTAGACATGAAAGGGACTTCAGAGATCAATGAGTTCAATCCCTTACTTTTTAGAGGAAAAGCCTTAGGCTTGGAAGGGACTTTGCATAGGTTCACCAAGGCAATGAATGGCAGAGCCTGGGTTGAAATCTCCACATTGCCTGACTCTTACCATGGCACCAAACTGCCTCTCTACTACCTTTGCTCTCACATTAGTGAAATTTTTCTTCCTCAGACTTTACACAACACTTCACTGCTCCCATCATATTCTATTGCTTCATAGTCTTACATGTTTACACCCATGCTATATTCCCTCTATTAGATTATAAGCTCTCTGAGAGCAGTTGCCATGATTTGTTTTTTTGTATCTCACCCAGTACTTTGGCATTGTATATAATAGATGTAAATAAATTCAACACATTCAATCCAGCAAACTTTTATTAAATACCTATTGTATTCAAAACACTGTGCTAGATCCTAAGAAAATTCCATTCATTTCGATAAATGGGGAGATACAAAATCCAGACGGTCCATGCTCATGGAGCATATGGTCTAGGAAAGGCATAAGAGAGACAGGACCATCATATATGACATATATGATACATAATAAGTATATTAGAGTAGTACAAAACATTGTCATATGAGGTTTCAGGGGTGGGTCATAAAAAAGTTGGTGAATGAATGAATAAACGGATGGATGGCATTTTCAAGATGACATAGGAATAAATAAAAATGGTAGGTAATCCAGTATTTCATTAATAATGAGCAGGAAAATGGTCAGGCCTCTAGAGGGAAGGAAGCGGAAGCACTTTGTTTTTCTCAACTCTCTCTTTGCCTTTTCAGTGTAAGACTGGTTTCCATTTCAAAGGCTGTAGCCCTTACTATCTGCGGCCTTACTTTCATATCTTTGCTGTGCTTCCCTCTCTTCATTCTAGCCTTTCTATCTGGTCTTCACGGGCTATCCTTGGTCTTCCTCTGGTCATCTTTCCCTCTGCGGGGGAGGAATGGGAGGAAACATCAATGATTATCTGCAGATGTGCTATCATAGCTTTGTAGAACCAAAATCTATACAGAGTGATCTTTGACATCAATCACAGTCCCAATCAGAACCCTAAGACCCAAATTGGGCAGAGTGTTTTCATCTCAGGATTCCCAAACCTACTTTTGGGAGTAGAAAGCTTCAGATTCAGAACATAAGAAAAAAAAATCACATAAACTGATTTACTGGGTGTAGATTCATTCATTAAAAGAGGCTTTCTTATTTAGATATTCTCTAGTCTCTTACGAAGTCATCACCTCTTTTCAGGACTTACTTTAAGGAGTTCCTAGATCCCTTAAAGAATAATAAGAAGCATAAATCTTTTCTAACATATTTTGAAATTTATTTTTGGTAGCATAATGTACACAAGTGTAGACTCATGGGGTCTCTTAATTGGAAAGAGAATTTAGAGACAATTTAATGCAACATCTAGTGCAAGCCTGAATCCCCTCCATACAATTCCAAACAGGTACAGTGAATGGGAATTGATTAACTAAAAGAAAACAACTTCCTCCTGTTAAGCAATGGCTGGAACTGGGATTTTTATCCTAGCACCACAGGGAAGAACAGGATTAGCCATTTTTGATTGTTCTTCTTGATATGAGATGCTTAAAAATGGAGTTTAGACACTAGATTCAATCACATCAAGCCTACAGTTGTCAAAACTCTCTATTTGAGTGGCTCTATCTCCAAGCAAACCTACCAGTTAAGCAATTTCCTTCTCACTTCTGAAGATGACAGTGGGGGGGAAGAAATAGGAGCAGACTAGGGATAGGACACCCTTTTCCTAAAGCAATACTCAGTGAAGCCAGGGAAGAATCAAATACTATCAATAAAGAAAAGTCAAAGGCTCTATGTGCTTCTAAAACATAGCTGCCTCCCAATGCTTTTTTTGTATTTCTTAAAACATTCTCCCCTTCCTCTATTACATTTCAAATTCACATTGAACTTACTATAGTAGAAAAATAAGTTCTGCTTTTCAAATGTTCTAAACAGGGAGGGGTTCATTGGAATTATTATTTTCCTTACTTAAAATTTAGAGGAAAATTTTAGGATTCATCCATGGAAACATCCACAGTTTTAATGAATAGCACTTCATCTGTTGTAGTACTCCAGAAAATGCTTTGAGCCAGATGTTTCAGGCTCATGATTTCATAGAGATAACACAATTTTAATAAACTCTGAATAAAGGTGATATTACTAAACTTTGTGATCATTTGAAATAGCTCATATTAATCTGTGAGGAATAGCTTCTGAATATTTTACTTTCTTTTAAAATTCTTCTTTGAGTAGAGAATTGCAAATTAAATATAAATTTAAAAACTGAGATGATGATAGGATTATTCAGGACTCTGATTATGAAAGGATGTCCTTGGGTGTTATGCAGACATTATTGATTAAACTGTTATGAGTATATGGGGGAACACAATTTTTTAAATTCTTAATGCTTTTAACTTTATAAATTGAAAGTGGAAAAAAAATACTTGAAGAAAGGGAAAAGGGCAAGATAGAAAACAAACACATTTGTTTTTCTAGTTTATGTCAAGGAATCAGTTACTTCCAATGCCAGGGTTAATTATTGGCCAATGTTGGTGAAGGTTGTCTCTAGTGCCTTCCAGTATCTGCCTTTAGGGCCCCTCATCCTTTTTCCTAGTACCTCTGGCTACCAATGGAGTCCTGTAAAGACTGGTAGCTATAGGGACAGAAGGAAAGGAGTTCTGGAAGCAGGAGAAGTTGGGATTTGGGATCATCTCAGTATAATAATGTTTAATTTCCAATCTACTTTTCTCTTAAGCACAAATCAATGAAAAATGTGGACCCATATGATAATTTATTTAGGACTGGAAAGGACTTTAGAAATCATTTGAACCAGTCCTCTTATTTAACATTGAAGAGGACTGTCTTGTTCATAGTCAAAACAAGTCACATGAAAGTGGATGATTTTTATTTTGTAAAAGATTTCTTTCATTTATAAAAGGCTTCTCCAGAGGATTTATAAATATCTTTTCAGGAAAACATCTATTCTCTACAATGAGGCACATCTGTACTACAGACCTTCTTAGAAGGCCCCAAAATTCTCATAAAGCCTGAAAGAGGCTATTTAGTAATGCATCTGGAAGGGGAAGATGACAGGGATATGTTGGGAAAGGAAAATGGTATAAGAATAAAAGATATCAAATTTTAAAAATGATATACTGACTGTTTCATCCCTCTTCAGGAATCTGGAATGGAACAGATATTCTTTGGCATTTTATGAGTTAGGCAATATTATTCTACTTTAGAGGTTAAAAGGTTCTTAATGAGAACCTTAGTTCAGACTCTTTTAGTAACTTTTTACTATATTGATGGCAGGCTTGGTGAGGATTAGGGTCAGAAAACAGAGAAAGATAGGGAAAAAGTAAGGAGGAGCATCCCTATGTCCCATGTCCCATGACTTCCCTTCTCTCCTCTATCATCTAGCCATTATAATCCTCCCAAAGGAATTAGCTACTAAGGTTTAAGACTGCTTTCCTCATTGTTATTAAAATTTTTATGACAATAGTAATAAATAAATCTCATGGATTGTAAAAGGCTCTCAAATCTATTATCATGTATCTTCCCAGCAGCCCTATAAGGTAGGTATTATCGTCGTTTTATAGATGAAACTGAGGCTCAGAGAGAGGAAATGAGTTACTCAGCTAGTAAATGACAGAAGTAGGAATAAGTCCTGGATCTTCTGACTCCAATACTGGTCTGTTTTCATTAAACTTTATAGATTTTCCCATGCTTATATGAGACTCTTGAAAACTAGAGACTATATCTTTAATATTGACATCCAGGTATGGCTCTAGAAGGTACCATTGAGGAGATATTTTGAGCAAGGGAGCTTTCTTGGGACACCTAAAATCATATTACCCTCTGATTTTGGCACAACCACCTATTCTTAAGCCTATCCCTACCTATATGCATTCCAGGAGTTGATACTGGAGTATCTTTACCTAGGACAAGCTGATTCTAGGGGAATGGATCCCAGGTCTACTGTTGCCAACCCCAATGCATAAGTCATAGGATTTAGAAATGTTTCTCTCAAAACCATTCCCATGGAGTCAATGGGGCTAACGGTCCTTGCAAAAAATCCCATACTTGCTCTACCAAGGTCACAGAGTCAGCAATACCCCCACCCACAGTACTTTTAAAAGGTCCTTGAGATTCTACCCAGAGTCACAGAGTCTTGGAAGTTGTAACAAACCTTGTCCTATTCTTCACCTGAAGAAGCAAATAGCCAATTTATCTTCTGGAGTCATTACAAGTGTTATCTTTAAAAATAATGCATGTTAAAACATCCTAAAATAATTACAAAAATTAGATTTATTACCTGAAGTATTAAACTCTCTGGCCAATTATGTATCTGTAAATTGAAAATTTGTCCAAAATGAACTCGGAAGTCCATGCCTATTTGACGACTGACTGTCCTTGAAACTTCTTTGTTGTTGAAAAGGACTTTTAAAAATACCGAACGCTTCCTTACGTCTTCTCTTCTCAAGATCTCTGCCCTAGGAAATTACAAAAATAAAATCACATTTTCATGCAGCCTTAGTGCAAATTTTGATAAAGAATAGAAGGAACATCTACCAAATGTACAACTAAGCTGCCCAAACTAAAAACAAAAGTATTATCTTACAGAAAAAAAGGCAAGTTCTGGCAGTTTGGGGGCACGTCTACAATCACTATCGACCAAAAGAGCAGATGACCATGCCTCGCAGAGACTGGTATAGTATGATATTCTAATACAGAAGTAGAAACTGACAAAGTTAAAACTTTGCATCAAAAGAACACATAAATTTTAATGAGCTTTGGTGTGTCACTGGTCTCCAACCTCTTTACTCCTTCCAGCAGGTGTTGCAAACCATGTCATAGATGGAGCATTGTATTTGTGAGAAGCTTCTAGGAATGCATTGCCTATATATCAAACAAGGGTATTCAAAATATAGACTCAGTGAGAGAATTTCGCATTTTGGCAGTACTTTTCACTCACAAATAATCTAGTATATTGTAGCATACAACAAAGTCATCTCATATTGGACCAGATTTTGCTGGTCATAAATAAGGCATTTTAGAAATTACATAAGTATTTTCAGACCATAAGAGACCCCTTAGTAGACCTTTCTTGTCTTCTAGGGTACAATTTAATATACTTACGATATGGAAGGTCAGTAACAAAGCCTCTAATATGTGCAAGACACTATGGTAGGCTTTGTGGATACAAAGACAAAAAAAAAGTCCTGCCCTATGTAGCTTATATTTTATTATAATGTCAATTAATTTCTGTCACCTTGGATGATTTTGTACCTCTTCTAGGAACACATTAATTTCTACCTTAGATTTTGATTATCTGTGAACCTGTCTTGCCAACTTTATATATTGTAAGCCCATCTTCTCACAACATAGTACCTTGCTTATAGTAAGTGCTTAATAAATATTTATTAATCAAATGCTTACTATACAATAATCCAGGAGAGTAGCAAGTATAAATGTGAGTGGTAAAAATCTTTCATATAAATGTAAAGATAAAAAAAGGGAAAAACAAAAATAGCTGGCTGTAGTTTCACTATATACATTTGTGATGCTATCCTCAAAAAACAGCTATTGGCTCAGGGCTGTCACTGAAGAAGAGTGTTGACAAAGGGGGGAAAAGCCCCACCCAAATCATGAAATCAAGGTCCAAATCAGGTCTAAGATTTACAGAGACTCAGTTTTAAAGTTTTTCATGCCCTTACCCAGACACATCTCCACTCCAAATGTTCATTTGGACCATTTGTGCCCAACCTGTGGTAGAGCCTTCCAAACTCATATTGGTCTGATCAGCTGCAGTTGGGCACACTGTATCTTGACCCCAACATAGTGATGCCATTTTGGTTCTCTTTGAGAACGAGTAACAACAACCAGCCCAGACATATTCAATTTCTGCTGCAGTTTAATTAACATATTAATGAGCATTTAACACCAACTGTTAAGAAAGTGTCACCCCCAAATTCTAGTGGATTTAGTTGGGTAGGAAATAAGAAAAGTCACATAAAGGTCTGATGAACAATTTACTCCCCAGTTATCCCATGCAGTGAACTGAAGTCCTTTATGGAGGCAGCCCCCTGTCCTGCTTCACTGATCACTTGGGTAAAGGAAAAAGATGGTGGCTGCTTTTGGTTTGGCTTAATTTAGGATGAATAGCCCAAATCTTGGTATGGCAATGGGAACATTCAATGAGACAGCCTGAGACAGGAAAAAAACAAAAACAAATAAACAAAAAAACTCTGCAAGCCTCTTAAAGCAAGACTCTTAAAGATGGACAATTGGAGTCCACCTTTTCCCTTAAAAAACCCCAAAATATATAGTCCAGGGGTGAGGAACCTACAGCCTCGAGGCAACATGTGGTCCCCTGGGTTCTCAAGTGCGGCCTTTTGATTGAATCTAAACTTCACAGAACAAATCCCCTTCATAAAAGGATTTGTTCTGTAAAACTTGGACTCACTCAAAAGACTGCACCCAAGGACTTAGAAGGCCATATGTGATCTTGAGGTTGCAGGTTTCCCATCCCTGGTATAGTCCTGTGAATGTTGTTGTTTGAAGAGGTTATTTAAAAAATACATTATGTGTAGCTCAAAAGTGTTTAACTGCTAACCAGAGCTTATTTGTTTATATGTAGGATTCAGAAACAAATAATATTAAAAAACTCGTTATGAAAGGGAAGAAGCTCACTAGAGAGCAAATTGAAAAGCAAATGAACATTTCAGTGTGAATAAATAAATAAATAAATAAATAATCCACTAGTGTGCTACTTAAAGACCAAAATGATCCATGAGGCTCCTAAGAGATCATTTCTCCTGTGAGATAACTAACGTATCTGAATTACAACTGTATTTTTTGATGACACAACTTCATAGTTATATAAATACTCCTTGGATGCAAGAAAAGTACCCTTCCAGATTGTAAGCTCTCTGACAGAAATGGGAAAACAACAGCAACAGCCAGGATAACCTTTTTCCAGGGCATACACACATAAATCCCCAACCAGACTTGTAATTTCATTTATGTGGAAACTCCCAGTGAGGACATCCTCCCTACCAGTGGAGAGCAGAAACTTTTATGCAACTTAGAGTCTTAGAAAGTTGTTTGTGACCCAAGAGATTAAAGGACTGACCTAGAGGCAGAACATGTCAGAAACTGGACCTAAAATCAGGTCACCCTGCCTCTGATGTTGGTTCTCCATTTACTGTGCCATACTGTTTCTCATATGTGTGTATGTAAATGTGCATATATGTCTATAAATTATTACGAGTTTATGTAATTATTTTCAGGCCCCCACTAAAGTCCTGCTCCAATGCGCCATCAGTGGGGGTGAGGGTGGGGAAGCTGGCTCTGTACTTTTGAAGGTGATAAGGTGATGTCAGTGGAGCACATGTTCAGGGATGTCCTACAAAGTTAGAAAGACATTGAGTATTGGTCTAGTTTGTTGTCTGAGGACCAGTCCAACTAAATAGAAAGGCTAAAGGTTGATCACCAGATCAAGAAGTTTTTTTTTTGTTTCGTTTTGTCTTAGGCAATTGGAGTTAAGTGACTTGCCCAGGGTCACACAGCTAGTGAGTGTCAAGTGTTTGGTCTGAGGCTGGATCTGAACTCAGGTCCTCCTGACTTCAGGGCTGATGCTCTATCCACTGTGCCACCTAGCTGCCCCTCAAGAGTTTTTTTTTTTAACCAAAACAATTTATGAACAACCATTATTAAAGTAGAGAAGACTTGCAATCTGCATTGTTGAAAGGAGTATATCAATGGTCTTGAGAATATGTCTTTCATTGTGTGTACTTAAATATGGTCACCTAGGTGGTGCAGTGGACAAAGTATCAGGACCAGAGTCAGGAAGACTACTCTTACTTAGTTAAAATCTGGCCTTAGGCATTTCCTAGCTGTGTGATCCTGGGTAAGTTACTCAACCCTGTGTGCCTCAGTTTTCTTATCTATCAAATGAACTGGAGAAGAAAATGGCAAACCACTCTAGCCTTTGCCAAGAAAACCCCAAATGGGGTTACAAAGAGTTGTGCATGACTGAAAAATGACTGATCAACAACATAAATAAATGAATAGAAAGATTTGTGTTTATCTCACTATCTCCTTTTAACAGATCTTATTTTAGGGATGTAGTTTATATTTAGACCAATGTGGTATATAGCCACAGTATTTGTATCCATGGGTAGGTAAAAAGTTACAAACGAGGAAAGCTGTGGATCAAAGATTCCTTTAAAGTTTGAGAACCATCTTACCTTGGACAGAGCTCATTGGGTGTCACACTTCCAGCCAGGCTCAGCTCAGGGACTAAAATAGGCTCTCCAGGTTTCCTCCTGTTGTGTGAGGCTTTCTCTCTAACCTGTTGCTCTATTGTAGACCTATCAACAGGTTCTGGAGGAGTGGGTTTTACAGGTTCCTCATCATATTCTGACTCCTCAGTTCCCTCATCTTGTTCTTCTTTTGACTTCTTTTTCTTTTTCTTGATCCTCTACACAAAAGAAAGTAAGGTTACAAAGCTTTCATCCTTGTATCTTACTATCACATTGCATTCCACTCTGGAACTACCCACACTCTTCGTGGATCTAGCACTGGGCAAGGCAAAAAGTATGCAAACTAAGATGTAAAGAAGTATATGTCATGATCCGGCCCTCAAGGAGCTTACATTTTATTCTAACAATGTAAAGGAAATATAAGACTAAATATAATTAAGCACAAATATGTATACTTTACAACATGATAATTATATATAAATATGCAATATATTGTGTAAATACAATATATGTACATAACATGTAATATTGTGCATATATATAACATAAATGCATATAATATATAACAAAGTTTGTATGAATATATGATTACATATAAAATATATATCAGAGATTATGTATTCATGTGAATATATCATATATAATATATAAGTATACATAATACATTTGTACAAATGTATCATATGTAAATATATGATAAATATATGTGAATATAAATACATATTTATATAACACATAATATAACATATATATATAAGACATGTAACATATTTTGTACTTACTTATATTTAGTGTCATATTTCCATATTATATATGAGCCAAGGGAATTCAGCAAGGGAAAGAGTTAGAAAGAAAGGAGGTGCAAACTGTACCTCTCATTTGCTGAATAGGAATTTAATGCCTAAATTGTATGAGCCTGTTTATAATCATTTCACTTATGTAGAAATTCTGTATTTCTTATGCTTTATTTGTGGTCATTTCAAGTTGTCTTTGCAGTAGTAAGGATAGTTTATGCTGATACATACACATTATGTTACACAGTTCCCCTTGTGACTAATGGTATGTATGTGAAAAATGGCTAGATGTGATTAGATTATTTTTGACTGTGGCTAAGGAAAAGAGTAAAGCTAATAGGTCCCTGTGGGGATTGAAGCTGTGAGCTTGTCCTCTCTGTCATAGTGTTCTATCCAACTGTGTTAACTGTCCACAGACAAGTGTATTTTACTAGAGATGAGCTCAAGATGGCACTATTGTCCTCATTACCAGTTCTATAACTATGGTGTTTGAGATTCAGATTCTAGTAACACCGGGAAGCAGGGGCTCTAGGTCAGAAAACATATCTAGGTATTCATAGGGCACTGATAGTCGGGGAGAATTCTTGAGAACAGAGCTTTTCTTAGTGTTGCTTACTTAGCACCAATAGCTAAATCAAGGCTTTTGCTTTTATAGCATACATTCCTTCTTTTTTGTCTGTTCTTTCTAGATTCCAACCTTAAGGGCCATGTTTTCAGCATCATCATTCTGTGGAGATTCCTTGAGAACAATACTATTAATTCATTCGTTCACTCACTCACTCATTCATTCAAAACAGGTACTGAAGCAACACTGCTGATGGAAATATGGAGCCCTTTAGTTGCAAGAACATTATATTCCTGGCAGCAGATGCCAAGAAGCCCCCAAAGATCAATAGTGGAACAGACTATAGGGAAAGGGCTCTGTAGGCAGTAGTATCCAGCAAATATATACTACCTGGGACTACCTTTAAACACAATATTTATTTTCATCCTCCTTCTATATTAAGAGCTAATCATTTTTAAAACATGGGTAAGGAGAACTGAGGCTAAAGGTTTCTGTATACAAACCTTACCCCACAGTCTTCATCTAATGATTTTTAATTAAATTGATGGCAGGTTTAGTGAGGTTTATGGTCAGAAGTTAGGGATATAGAAAAGATGACAGATACAAGTTCCTTGGAGCAGGGGCTGCGTCATTTTTATCTTCACATTCCCAGTGCCTAGTATGGTACCTTTAACATGGTAGTCAGTCAGTCAACAACAATAATAATAGCTAGCATTTATATAGTGTGTCTTATGTACCGGGCACTGGGCTAAGCACTTTACAGATATTATTTCATTTGATCTTTGCAGCAACCCTCGGAGGTAGGTGCGATTATTATGCTCTATCTGCAGTTGAGGAAACTGAAGTAGATAGATGTTAAGTGACTTGCCCAGGGTCACACAGCTAGGAGATCTCTGAGGCTGAATTTGAACTCAGGTCTTCCTAACTCCAAGCCCAGCACTCTATCCACTGCATCACCTAGCAGCCCAAACATTTATTAGGCATTTACTAAATGCAAGGAACTGTGCTAATCACTAGGGATATCAAAAAGGGGCAAAACAGGGTCCCTTCCCCCAAGGAACTCACATTTTAATGGAGGAGAAACACAGATAATTATATGCATAGAAGATATATACAATGGAAATGCAAAGTAGTCTCGGAGAGAAGGCACTGAAGCTGGAGGGTGGGATGGGGAGGACCAATAATGGTTTCCTGCAGAAGGTGGAATTTGAGCAGATTCTTGAAGGAAGCCAATGAGGAGGGAAAGCATTTTAAACATGGGGAACAGCCAGTGCAAAGTCATGGAAATAGGAGATGGAGTGAAGGCCAATGTTGCTGGGAAATAAAAAATGTGAGAAGACTGAAAAAGCAGCAGAATGTCAGTTTGTGAAGGGCTTAAAATGCTAAAGGATTTTGGGACGAGAGAAGGCCCACATTGGCCAAGTCTGCTTACCATTTCGCTTACCATAAAACCTCACACTCCACACTGCCAAAGGTCAGCCATGTTCAAAGTTGAAACCGTTCTACATACCTGTGCTTTCTTCCAGGCTTTCCATTTTTGGTACTCGATTCTATATTCTTCCATCTTCTTTTCATACTCTTCCATGTGCTCTTCTAATAACTCATTTGTTTCTGCTTGAATTTCTGTTTCAAATGCCTTTTCGTCTGTTTTCCAGTCGACTTCTTCCCTTTAAAATAATTTATTGCATTTATATTTTCCCTCAAAAAGTCACTTAAAGTGGGTAAAGTACATTTAGTACTTTAAAAATAGAGGGGCAGCTGGGTGGTGCAGTGGATAGAGCAATGGCCCTAGAGACAGGAGAACCTAAGTTCAAATCTGGCCTCTGACACTTACTAGCTGTGTGACCTCAACAAATCACTTAACCCCAGTTCCCTCCCCCTCCACTGCCAATGGTATTAATTCAAGCCACAAAGACTGCACTTAATGATATTAGTTTTTTTATTAGTATGATAAATCACTTCAAAACTCTTGAAAACTATGTGTTTGAACTTACCTGTACAACCTATGTGAAATTTCATTACGATAGTGTTAAAATTTGCAGTGCTGTTCTAAGATCAGACCATACCAACTGTATTATTGTAGGGGCCATACATTCCAAATGACTCACACCAGCTCTTGCTTTATTTTCCTTAATGCAAATCTAGATGCTAAGTTCTACCATACTAGAAGCTCCTCTATTCAGATTGGGCAAACTTTTTAGGTACCAAGAGCTGTTAAACCCTGGCAAACTTATAAGGACACCTAGCTCTACTTAACATTTATTAGATATATATTTACTACTTCAGGGTTTCAGGTTTAGATTTAATACATCACTATTTAGGTGCACTAAATGTAACCAGAACTCTTTACACATTCACCCTAATGTACCAGATTTGGTGGATTAGAGTAAACAAATGCTATTTAGTTATGAAGACAAAAAAGAGAAATGTACACTGGTGTTAATTATTAATTAAAAAATTAAGCATTTCTTAAACAGTTGTGAATATTTCTCATTACTGAAATATACTATATCTAAGATGACATGGAAAACATGAGTAAAACAGAAAAATTGCAGAGAAAGCTGTCACTTAGTCAACTAGCATTTATTAAACCTGTGTGCTGGTTACTGCACTAAGTGGTGGGGAATAAAAAGAAAGGGGAAAATGAACAATCCCTTCTCTCAGGAGCTCACAGACTTAGGGACAGTTAGCTAGACAGAGCTCCTCAATGGGATTAAACATAGCTAAGTGGTGGGAACTCCTCTCTTTCCCTTGGTTTCTTGTCCTCCCCTGGGAAGGTACCACCCAGAACCTATCAGGGCTGTTTCATTGCTTTTACAGCTTGGATGAGATGGGATCACCAAAACTTTTCATTCATTCAAAACTCAGGCAAAAAAGGGAAATCCCCCAAATCCTGGGCTAACGCTCTGCTGAGGGCTGCACAGAGTTTTTGTTTGAAAAAACCTGAAAAATATCTTATGATATTTCTTCCTCATGTTGTGATGTCCAAGTAGAGCATAACATTTTTCCTTTTAATTTTTTCACAAGTATATCTGAGAAAAAAAAAACAAAGGCATCAGTGTTCCAAGGCAAAAAATCAATATGGCATTATTGTATCTTTCTGAGTCTCCATTTCCTCATCTATAAAATGGAGTTAATCATATTTGCTCTACCTATCTCACACGAAGTAAGGAAAATTCTTTGTGAATGTTAATGTCCTATATAAATGTGAGATAGTATTACTATTATATATCTAAATTTTTCACTCTTCCTATGAATTTTCTGATACATAATTAATTTAAGTGGGATAGTATGCTACAAAAAAAAAGAGTCTCAGAGCTGGAAGGGGCCTCAAAGGTTAGCTAGTCTAACACATACATACCTGACTAAGAATTCTTACAGTGTCTCTAATGTACAGCCTGGAAGGGAAAAGAAAACCAGAGACTTTCTTGACATTACTTTGAAAAGGTTTAACCATCAATGACCATTCTCTGAAGCATATATAAAAATAGTTCCTGGCCTGTTAAGAAGTGTATGTGTGATTAGAACATACTTTCTCAAAAATAGTTTTATGGGTGTGTTGGTAAACTTCTGAAAGTCTCGAAGGGATTTCATTTCTTTCCAAACTTTTATGATGGTCTTAAGCAATATTCGATCTTTTTCTTCTTCAGCATCACGTAACCTCCGCGTTTGCCTACAAAATATATAGCATATGCGTGTATGAAAAATTATCTTGGTGTAAATAAGCCCCCAGGCTAAAAAACTGATAAGAATAGGAGCCAAATGAACTGTTCTTCCATTGGACAATTATTTCAAATCATGAGGATAACTAGTAAATAATCCAGATTTGAAGAGGGCTGTATTTTATTCCCTTCAGAGTACTTTTGGTTAATTTTGATGTATTGTATAACTCTTTAAGATTCTTTTTAGAGCTGTACATCATTAAAGAAACATACTTTCTTTGAAATTATATGAATAAGCTGTCAGTTGCTTTGGTGAAAAAATTTCTATGCAAGGTTGCTATTCAAACTGGTAAAATTACAGGCCCAGATCACTATAGCTACTCTTCCTTCCATAAAGATTTGCATGATGTGCTTTTTAGGGGATTAATTAGCAACCTGTAATAGCATAATATACCAAGGATGCATCATAATAGACCATTTGCTCGATAATTAGGTAGTAATCTCCTTTTTCTTGATGCAATATAAAATATCTGATCTTGCCAAATTAACTTTAAAATGTGCATTTTTTACTTTTCTCATCAACCTCAAGCTCCCCAAAGATTTCAAGGAGAGTTTTGAGCAAATGAAACATTTAATTGTTGATCTAAACAGGCAAAAAGTACAACGTTGTACTCAGTAATATAGGACAAAGGAGAAGCATAGTACAGTGGATAGAGAACCATCCATTCATCTAGGAAGAATTTGGTTCAAGTCTTGTCTCTAATACGTAATAATTATGTGACCCTGGGTAAGCCACATAACTCTCAGTGTTCTAGGCAATTCTTTAAGACTCTAAGTTGCAAAGAAGGCTCTGCTTAGTATTAATGGAGAGAGTCTTCACACCTGAGAGTTCCCTATAGCAATGAAAGCACAAGTCCAGATCTTATTCCTAATATAGGACAAGGGCTTTAATTTAGTCATTTAATTGCAGAGCATATAATCATCACAACTTAGTCTTAAAGCATATTTGAATGTTTTGAGTCAAGTGTATACAAATTAACATGAATTATTGGAAAGTAAAAGTCTCCTTTGAGTTCAGACATCTAACAACTGAAAAGCAGACCGTCCCATTGGGAATGAAATTAACAAATAGGCTAATAATCATTTGGGAGCTTGGATACTGACTGCACAGTAAGAACCATATTGCATCCAACCAACAGAGGCATAGATTACATGTGATAAAGACTTGGGAGTTTGAGTGGACTGCTGTCCTACACTATGTATTCCTTTCCTGTCAAGGTTTATGTAAAATTAAAATGAATCAAAGACCTAAATGAACATCCAGAAAAAGAGACATCTCACTTATCTGGCATCAGAAGGGAAAGAGCTGATCCATAAAAACGAAATTTCCCAATAACTTTAAGAGCCAATATTTCTTTCATTTAAACTATTTTGAGTACAAATCCTCCAAAATAGACTTCATGTTTCCCTGCTTTCTTTACCAGAGCACACAAAACATAACTTAACCTTTCCTTGATGACTCAATATCACCATTAAGAATGTCATTTGTTGTGCTGGGCTGTTATACAGTGATGACTTCAGTAACTATTGAGGTAGTTGGGTTGTTCGCTCTTATACTAAATGGCCCCCGACTGCTGTGCTCTTTGAATTCTTGTGTCTTCTAATAGTTATTGTGTCTCTTCCATTCCTACGAGGCTACTAGCTGTCACTTCTTACTGCTCTCTGTACGACTGACTCCAGCATCCCCAATACTTCTGATTTGTTGTTTCTAATTGTCTGTGGGCTAGAAAAGCAGGTAATTAAACTTGTAAGAACTTTGTCTAAAGTAAGAATAAATGCACTCTGAATAAAAGTCCAAGAAGTTTTTCTGTGAATCAAGTAAGTAAATGAAATGCAAAGTTGTTTGTTTTTTTTTTTCAGATACTCTTAAGGTCTTTTTTAAGCTCCTTTCTTGGTTCTCAGTTATGTTCCAAATAGCTCATTTGCATGAGGGGTGAACTCTTGATAAAGCAAGGTGTTTATGATATAATTACACATATTTCCCTCTCTTCCTCTACTGAAATCCTCTTCCCATGCCTACTTGTGGAGTGGAGGTAACCTTGGGCCCTCAAAGGCTTGAACAGAGTTCAAGCCCTGACGGGTCTTGACAAGTGAAAGGACATTGACCTTGGAGTCAGGAAGACTTGAGTTTGAGTCCTGCCTCAGATACTTAATTTGCTGAGTGACCCTAGGCAAGTCACTTAATCTCTCTTATCTTCACATATAAAATGGGGGTAACAACAGGCCCAGCCTCCCCAGGTTGTTTTGAAGATCAAATGAGCTATCATGTAAAATGCTTTGCAAACCTTAAAACATCATATAAATTCTAATTTAATACTACTATCATTACTATCAACACCACCTGATACAATTGTAAGTATGAGTTTGGTGATAGAATATATGTCTGTTATTCAGGACCGACTTTTCTCAGTTCAGGCAATCTCATCGCAGAATTGGCTAGACACTGATTAATGTTTAGCCACAAGAACTCTGACATCATCTACTAAGTTACACAAGGGTTTGCACTCTGCAGCCACAGAGGAAAAAATTCTAGATCCTTGAAATGCTTCTACTTTTTCTCATCCATGCCAGTATGAAGACCGGCTGTGCTTTTATGAACTCGTGTGTCATAATTAAAATGAAGAGGGCTTACAGAGGTGTAAATGGTGGTTACCTAATCTGACCAAATTTTCAAAGACTCCACTGGGATGGTTGGGGGGAAAGCAAAGAGAATTTGGTTGCTAGAGGCAGAAAAAAATTGTCTACCCAGAGTCGAAAGCTTGGAGCAATTTCCTTACCTAGATATGTACAAATGACTATGTGGATGGACATGCTTTATCACAAAATGTAAAATGTGATTTTTAAGTTTTATGTGCCATGTTTTTGCATAGGACCAATGGGCAACTATGACTAATGATATGTAAAATGACAGACACTATGATAAAAACAGAGCAAGAAGACTAGATCTATGGCTTCATTTGGCATAGGTAACTCCCGGTATGACAGATAAAGTGATTGAGAGTTTAAATGATTTACCCATTATGTGTTGAAGGTGAGACGGGAACCAAGGTCTTCTTGAATTTGAGGCCAACTCTCAGTACTCATTATTTCTATTGGCTGAGAGATTTTTTGCATTTGTAGGAAAGGTCTAGAAATCTCATACAAAAAAAAAAAAACCCAATGACCACAAATTAACATTTTACTCACCGAATTTCTGATTGATACTTGTTCATGCTTTCCTGAGCTGTGTGGCCAGAACCACGAGGTTTGGTGGAATCAGAGTGAGTGTGTACAGCATTCCTCAGAGCATTGAGCTAACAACAAATAATGCCAATTCTGAGTTATGAACATTTTTTTTGAGAGAACAATGTTATCCACAACAAGTTTGGTGACTGCTTAATGACATGAGAAAACGGAACTGAATAATGCAACATTGACAAAATTAATCTCAAATTGGGACAGCCTTGGACAAAACATGAGTCACATTTGTAAACCTGGTATGCTTCGTCAGATGATCTAATCTATTCCTAAGCCTTTCAGCAATACCTCACTAAGATGATAAGAGGGAGAAGTGTGCTTATTTTCTAATTTGTGTTCCCTCCTTGTTCTGGTACATGATAGTCTATTTAGTATCACTGACATTTTAACACGTGTACAACCATGGCAAGGAGAGTAGAGAACTTTTTGTATGTGACTTAGAAATATCAATGGTACAGTAGCCACAACAAAATATTTGTAAATCAGAGAATCACAGGGCTGAAAGAGTGTAGTGTTTTGAATATAGGAAGGATCTCATGTAAAGTATCCCAGAAAGAAGGGTAATCTGTAAAGAAATATTTTACTTAGAATTTTATCCACCTTAACTCATTAAAAAATCCAACTGAATAAAAGAGAACCAATCATAAATACCTTATCTGTAAGAAATTTTGTCTGGTTCCTCTGACGTCTTGCTAGATATTGATCATATAACTGAGCCAATTTGGCTGCTAAAACATGCTCACGGCTAAAACAGGGATGATGAGTAAATATTAATCCTGAAATATCGATGTCCAGTTGAAACTGACCCAGAGAGTCTCCAGAACCAACAACGTACTGGTTATTGGGTACAGAGTTGACTGCCTGAAAGACAGAGAGAGAGAGAGAGAGAGAGAGAGAGAGAGAGAGAGAGAGAGAGAGGGAGTTAAAGACTTTTCCAGATAATTTTTCTATGTTTTTGTCTATACTATACTACTGACAAATAAATATTTAGTTTACTTTTACACAACATATTGTGGACATGCAAGTTGGAAAATGCTTGGGTTGCCTAAGCAAATTGCTAGGTATTAGGTACCTGCCCTTAACTCTAGTTATTCTCAGGCCAAGGGATCAAATTGACAGTGTGAAGGATAGCTCTGACACGTGGCTTTACTAATACATAGATTTCATATGTAAGGCAGCTAGGTAGCATAAAGGATAGTGTGTTGGTCTTGGATTTAGGAAGACCTGAGCTCAATTCCTGCCTCAGAAACTTACTAGCTCAGCCTCAGTTTCCTCATCTGTAAAATGAGCTAGGGAAGAAAATGGCAAACCACTCCAGTATCCAAGAAAACTTCAAATGGGGTCACAAAGAGTTGGACATGACTGAAACTACTGAACAACAACAACAACAAGGAAAAGCATTACTAATATTTAAATCTGTTTTTCTTTGTCTTCAAAATGAACAGGTTTCCTGTGTGGGGTTCCAGGTCATAAGGAATGATGAAGGACCATATATCTGAAACTGGAAGGAACCTGAGGCCATCTAATCTAACCTGTTCATTAGAGATAATGCAACCTGGGACCCAGGGGATGTTACAGACCTGCCCAAGATCACACAGGCAGTAAGCATCAGAGTGGGATTGGAATTCTATGTACCATATCATGATGTCTTAGATATACTCCAAAGGTCATCTACATACCAGATAGATAAAAAATATGTATTTGTAGTAAGTTCTGCCTCTTCACCACTATTTTCCTCTTCAATGTCGGGCCATTCTCTTTTTATCTTCCTTTTCAATTCCTGGTAAATTTGAGTAAGCTTTCTCAGCAATTAAGATAACTTCTGGTTAGAAATTCAGAAACTGAATTTGACTATAAACTTATCTGGAAAGTCAGTCTATTTCCTACTATTTGGATCAAGGAATCTTAACTTTTTTTGTGTCATGGAACCCTTGGGTAGACTAGTGAAGTCTGTGGAGTACTTTTCAGAATAATGTTTAAATAATTTAAGGAAATGCTAAATTTAAGTTAGAAGTTAGTGAAAACAAAGATGTAATTTTCTTCTTGTGCAAATTTACAGACCCCTTGCTGCCCATGGATCCAGATTTAGATACATCTGGGTCCTTCTCTACTGACCATGATCTACTTCATTGGATAACCACAGCAAATCTGTAATTTTCATCCTCTGAAGGAGTTTTATTGGTTGGTAAATTGGAAAAGCAAAATGTTCTCCTGTTGGTGATGTCTGCACGACATCGATACTCTATTTCCCCTAGATATCAGTAGATATAGCTTTGGGCAATTATGTATTTAATTAACAAACTGATGTACCAACATGTGTGCTATGTGGAATGTTACAGCCATCATTTATGGCTTCAGCCCTAGACTGTCTTAAAAATAACCAAGGAAGTTGAGATGCAGTTCTAAAACCAATCTGTACATTCAGGGGCTTTCCTCATGACCAAAGAAAATATCTTATTTAGTTGAAGCATTCTATAAGCTAGACAGAACATAACTCTCTCCAGAATCAAACAGAAAGCCCCCACTGGTTCAATATTAGGAGGTGGTGTAGTAGATAAAATGCCAGGCCTGGAGTCAGGAAAGACCTGAGGTAAAATCTGCTCTCAGACACTTAATTGTGTGATCTTAGGCAAGTCATTTAATCCAGTTTACCTCAGTTTTCTCATCTGTAAAGTGAGTTGGAGAAAGAAATGGCAAACCACTCCAGTATCTTTGTCAAGAAAACCCTGAATAGTGTCACAAAGAATTGGACGCTACTGAAATGACTGAACAACAATAGTTATCCATGTTAATAACATGAACAACAACAACAAATCAAATGGTTATATCAATAGATGTGGAAATAGCTTTTGATAAGCTGTAAGACCCATTCCTGTTAAAAACACTAGAAAACACAGGATAAATCAATCTTTCCTTATAATGCTACATGGTATCTATCAAAAGGGGCATCTAGGTGGTGTAGTGGAGAGAGCCCTAGACCTGGAATCAGAAAGATCTAAGTATGGCCTCAGACATTTACTAGCTTTATGACTTTGGACAAGTCACTTAATCCTTATTTGCTTCAGTTCCATATCTGTAAAATGGGACCCACAGTATCTTTGCCAAGAAAACCTCATGGAAAAAAAAATCCATGGGGTCATGTAGAATTAGATACAATTGAACAACTGAACAACAACAACAACAACAATAATCTATCTATCTAAAACCAAGAGCCAATATTATCTATAATGGGTATAAACTAGAAGCCTTTCCAATAAGATCAGAGGTAAAATGAAGATATTGATGATTATCATTACTATTCAAAACAGTGCTAGAAATGCTATTCGTAGAAATAAGATGAATCGAAGATAGACAAAGAAGAAACAAATTATTGCTTTTTTTGCAGATAATATGATCATTTACTTAGAATACCCTAGATACTGGACTAAAAAAACTGATAATTAAAATAATTAACATCAGGAAAGTTTCAGGATATAAAATAAACTCATATAAACTGTTAACATTTCTGTATAGTATTAATGAAATCCATTAAGAAGAGATAAAAAAAGAAATTCCATTTTAAATAACTAAAGAAAATATAAATTACTTTAGAATCTACTTGCCAATACACAAACAGGAACTACATAATATAAGAGAGTGGACTAGAGAATATGTTCAATGTAAATAGGACAAGAAAAATGCACAAATGTGTATTGTTTCTAAGGGAAAAAAAACTTCAGAGATACTTCAGAAAATTTAATAGCTGCTGTGAATGAACTTAGAGTTCTGAATGCAATTTTAGTTCATAAATTCTTAGATTTAGCACCAGGAAGGACTTGAGAGATCACCTAGTCCAACTCCATTTACAGATGAGGAAACAAAGGTCCAGAAATGCAAAATTACTAATCCAAGTTCATGTGGAGTAGTAAGTGGCTTGTTGTCTTGATGTGAAAAATTAGGATGAAACCTGAAATCCAGCTCATTTTCCACTGACTTCACCCTCCTACACTCCAAAACGGATTTAACTTCAGAGTTGTTTTATCTTTTCTCTCCAAATGATTGTAGGGTTATTGCCATTAATGTTATGTGTCCCAAATAGCAATTGGTGTATGTGTTAGAATACAAAGAATGGAATTAATGAGTGGAAATAGATACAAAGGATATAAATTCATGGTTACATAACATTCTTTTTGAACATTGATTTATAAAATTATGGTGAGTATGTTGTATGTATGTTTGAGTGTGTGCACAAGTAATCCCCATATCATCCTAGACTCCAACTTGGTTCTGGAACCATTCCCTCTTCCTCTTGCCTCAAACTTTGCTGAGGATGTCAGTTGAGATTGAAATAACTAAAGTGGACCTTGGTATCCATTGGTACAACAAATTTAATACTCACATCTGTTTACATTGAGGAAAGAACACCCCAATAAAGATTCCATTTCATCTACATTCATGTTTTATGAAATTACCTTAAGGCATTCCAGGGATCACTTACTTATTAATACTTGTTATGGATGTCATATAGGCATAGTCTGGGACCCCCTTCCTATTGCTGCTAAGGTATTTTCCATTGTATCCTCTCTTAAATTTGGGTTCAAGGTATTAAATCATGTCCAGTTGCAAGATACAGCTGCCAGATTTTTTTTGTTCTCTGCAAAAATGTATGTGGCCACATGTAACTAAATTTCTAAACTTCCTATAGGAATATCTCTAGATAAATCTCAAAATTCAAACCAAAAAGAAACATTCCACTCTAACTGATCTATTCCTTACTTAGACTAAAAGAATTCCATTTTCCACTTTCCCTGTTTGATGGCTTTTTTTTAACTAGCTGGCTTACAAATTTTACAGGAACATTTTTGGTTGGTGTTCTCAAGGCCTATTCTGTAGCACTCCAGATATGAGTTAAAGTAACTTTTAGAATTGCTGTGTTATTTATTCTTTTTCCATTTGGTTACCTAGGATACTCACATCTTACCTCATTGTACTCAAATCTACATGACCTCAGATCTTAATAATTTGCTGTGATCTCAGCCTGGAGTTTAGGTCATCTAATCCTAAACTACCATTAAAAAAAGGATTGGATTGAGACAGAGAGAATTTCTTCCTGGATGAAATGTTATCTAGGAAATATATTGTTTTGGTGCTGAAATAAAACTATTCAGTCTTCAATTCAAAACTGAAAAAAAAAAAAACCTAGTCCCAGAATTGTTCCACTAGGAAACTAGTAGGCGCATAAAGTGCCTCAGATACTTGCCAATATATTTACTATAGGGGAAAAACAATACTTCCTAACATATTTAAAATAAAAGCACTGGGAAATTACAAAATCCTTAACAGAAGAAACAAACAAATAAAAATGAAGAATGTTAAGAGGTTGGGAAATCAAAGTTCTCATTGGGTTAATCAGAAAGTGGAAAAACTTGCACATGCTAGAAATTGGTCTAAATATTGGGAATCCAAATCCAGATTGGGATTCTGAAAGCAGAGCTCTTTGGAGGATTTTTAGACAATTCTAACACCAGTTGTAGTAAATTATATTTTATATTCATTGCTTAATATTATTCTCAAAGTCTCAACATTATTTTCTTTCTTAAATTTTTTTCATTGTTTTCCCCAAGATATATTAATTTGCATTTTCCTAAACTGAACTTAATCCCTTCTCCAATATAAAACATTTCTTGTAGTTCTTCATCTTCAATGGCATTTGTTAAAGCTTTCTGATTTAGTAACAGAAAGAGATTTCATTTTTTTCCCATTCTCTTCCTCAAGCAAGTAAAAAAAAATTAATAGAGCTGGGACAATTGCCAAACCACATTCTTGAGTGAATACAGTATTCAGCTTGATAGTTATGATAAGAAGGAATCAAGGTCTTATAGTATGTGTCAAATGCACAATGAATTTTGCTGATCATAAGGGAGATGAATAGAGTAAGAAGTTCCATTCTGGTCAACCAGATTCCTGAAATGGTTGCCAAAGTATTAGTTTTCTTCAGTCTTTTTATAGGTCTAAGACATCTCATTCGATAGCCCAGGAAAACAGGTTTCATTTTCAACCACTTTATGGATCACAAGATCAAAGAATCATACATCTAGAGCTGGATGCAACCTTAGAAATCATCTAGTTCAATCCCCTCATTTTTCAAGGAAGAAAATTGAGGCACCAAGAATTTAAGTGACTTGTCCAAGGTCACCCAAGTAGCTAAAGGTAGAGTTGGGATTCTAAGTTTGTCTTCTTTTTATTCTGCTAAGCAGCTTTCAAATAATGATGACGATCTGGCCAGATTTCAGGAGAAAATATATGTTCTATACTCGGGGTTAAGGGAAGAAAGAACTGAGGTAAGGAGTGGAGGAAGGAAGGAATTATTTTAATAATTTGCAGCTTTCTTAATTGCAGAGCTGTGAGAATATCCTAATGATACAAATAAATAATGGAAACAAAGGCAACAAATAATCGCCGACCATTGACTCCAGAGGAAGTCATTAAAAGTAACAGGGGCTTCCTAGAAATAACAGAGAGCCATGAGGGAGAGGAAGTGTTAGAAAAGGGTTGAGAACATACAGATTTAAAAAAAAATAGCATTTCTGTGAGTGGTGTACAATGCTTTAAATTACTGAATGAACAGAAATTAGACTTCTGTGTCTTGAAGAAACTGAGCTATGAAGAAGAAGACTGAAAATATATTTGGTGAACTAATACTGTGTGGTGTCTACAAGCCCTCCCCCAAACCACTAATCTCACTCCACATGAAGGGTGACCCAGGAGTAGTTTTAAGCTTTAATAATTCCAGAAGTAAAAATGCTACAAACTTACAAAAATATCATTTGAAAGTTTAATTATTTATATTTTTGCACATATTTTGTGATTTTTGAAAAATACATTTTTAACTTGAACAAGATGGGACATCCTGTCCTGCATTCCATGTGCTACAGTTTCTCATTCAGTGAATTAATAGAGGTCTACTGACTTGTTCTTCTTTATAGGTCACCCTGGTTACCTGATCTGTCTCCATTAGACTTTTTCTTGTGTGTGTGGGGTCACATCAAAACTGTTGTGTATGCATCAGAACCTTGTTCTTTGGAAGATTTTCTAAAAGCATTTTCATTTAAAGTTTTGAGTTCCAAATTCTCTCCCTCGCTCCTTGAGATGGTAAGTAATCAGATATAGGTTGTACATGTGCAATTATGTAACATGTTTCCTTATTAGTCATTTTGTATAAAAAGACTTTAATAAAAGAAAAAGAGAATGAAAGAAAGTGAAAAATTGCATGCTTCAGTCTGTATTTAATCAATAGATGTTCTTTCTCAGGAGGCAGATAGTATGCTTCATCTCCGGAAGATTTTAAGACTAGAATTACAAATGTAATGCTTTCTGTTACTGAGTAGAAGCAGATGAAAGTTTTTACAAAGTTAGAAAATCAACTAAAGCAATGTGTAATCATAAGTTGATGGTTAAATAAAAAAGTCAATATTTTAAAATTTTACATAATTAACCCTTAAAATGATATTTTCTGAAGATTTGTAGCACATATACTTCTGAAGTTAGTAAAGCTTAAAACTACACTTAGCCTTATGGTACACTTTGCATGTGTTCTATTGTTTTCAGTCTTGTCTGACTCTTTATGACCCTATTTGGGGTTTTCTTGGCAAAGATATTAGAGTGGTCTGCCATTTCCTTCAGCTAATTTTACAGATCAGGAACTGAGGCAAACAGTTAAGTGGCTTGCCCAGAGTCACATAGCTAGTAAGTGTCTGAGGTCAAATTTGAACTCAGGAAGATGAGTCTGCCTGACTCCAGGCTGGGCTCTTAATCCATTGTGCCACCTAGCTGCCCCAACACCTTGAACTGGCACTTTTATATAGAAGCTACTTGCTTGAAAGTCAGTATTATCCACTTGTTTGGTTATGGTTCTGAATTCAAAAACTTGAGGAGCAAATTCTTCCAAGCTCGGAAAAGTGATCTTTAGTTTAGTATGGAAGTCCACTGGTTAAGTATTGGTCTAGAGTAGGTCACATGGTATTGTGGAAAGACACTGGACTGGGAGTCAATAGATCTGGGTTCAAATCTTGAATCCACTACTTACTGAGGGAACTCTTACTCAAGTCATTACTCTTCTTTGAGGGTCAGTTTTCTCAGCTGCAAAATGGTGGCCATTACACCTACCCTAGCTACCTTAGAGGGTATCTGGGAGAATCAAAGGAAATAGTGGATATGAAGGTTCTTTATACATCATAAAGCACCTCATATAGCGGAGACATTATTATCTTATTAAGGACTGGTATTAAATTATGATATACTTTGTCTTGATCAGTTTATAGAGGGGCTAGGAGTATAGAGGCTGTGTTTCTATTTGCTGCTATTTCTACTTCTTGGCTAGAGAAAGTAGTTGATGCCATAAAAGGATCTGCATGCATCACTAAATAGATTTAAAATGTCAGAATTCCTCTACTTTAATGCTCTTATCTTAGAAATGAAAAAATTGAGGCCTATACTAATTAAGCAGTTTTTAAAAGAACACACAGTAACTGGCAGAACTTGAGGCTGGGACTTAAGTCTCCTCTCCAGTGGTTTTTTTCCATTATACCATATTTAATACAGTAGAGCTATTAAAAATGAAAAATATGTAGCATACATAAATACATAAAAATGTTCATATGAAATAATGTAAAATAAAACAAGCAAGAACACAAGGTTGTAAAGTCACAATGATTATAACTATGCAAATATATGTATTTTTAAGCAAAATATACAATAAATACTTGTTGATTAATTATGTCTCTTCCATTTTCTTCCCTAATATTTTTGCTGTTAGAGTATTAAAGTCTATGAGTATAATGTATTATGCCTTAAGACATGGTAAAAGCTTAATAAATATTCCAATATTGAATTGTGGAAAGGAACATTAAGGCTAGTATAGTTTTAAAATGTGAAACTGTTATTACCTTTTTATATAATGTTTGTAGTCCTGCTTCTATGCCTTCTCCTGGTGAGAATATTGGTGGTCTTGTAGAAAATTGTTTAATTGGATTAGGAAGTGCTAGGATCCTGCCATCGTCACCAAACCACTTTCTCTCCTGTGAGATGAGCAAAGAGAGTATAATTTTATTTCTGTAATATGGAAATGATTTACAAAATGACAACATTTCCAGAATAACTTAATATCAAACATGCATGTCTTATGACATAATTTTTGGTATTTCCTCTCCTAGAAAGAAAACTTCAAGTATTTTTCCCATTAAAATTTTAGTCTTGAGCTGTAATCAATTTTTACTACTCTCAAATGGAATATTTTGCAAAAAATGGAACAAGAAACTAAAGATAGGTCTTAACAAAGCTATTCTATTGTATGCTATTGTATAGTTATTCTATTGTATTCCATGTATTCTATTTCATTAAAGTAATTTTTTTTTCTAGATTTTAACCAAATAAACATTAGAAATACAGAAAAGGTTGCTCATGGCTAAGGTGAGCCAATATAATAAAAATGGCAATACTACCTATATTAATTCATTTATTCAGTATCATGCCCCCACCCCAAAAACTATCAAGGGATAACTTTATAGAATTATAATAATAATAATAATAATGATCAAATTCATATGAAGGAACAAAAGATCAAGAATATCAAGGGAATCAACAAAAAATAAGGAAATAGGCCTAACCTTAACAGATCTCAAACTAAATTATAAAGCTGTAGTCATCAAAACAATTTGGTACTGGTTAAGACAGTGAAAGAGATTGGGCATACAAGAGACAGAAGCAAATGAACACAGCAACATAATGTTTGCTCAAATTGAAGATCCTAGCTATTGGGGCAAGAATTCACTATTTAACAGAAACTGTTGGGAAAAGTAGAAAGTAGTCTGGCAGAAACTAGATATAGACCAATATCACACCTTACATAAGCTTCAAATGGGTCCATGATTTAGACATAAAAGATGACATCATAAAAAACGCTTGGAAGAAGTTGCCTGTCAGATCTGTGGATAGGGAAAGACCTCATGATGAAATAAGAACTAGAGAGATTCACAGAAGGTAAGATGGAAAATTTTGATTACAGAAAATTAAAAAGTTTTCACACTAACAAACCAATTAAACTAAAATTAAAAGCAGGAAACTGGTAAAAAAATTTTGAAAAAAGTTTCTCTGATAAAATCTCATTTCTAAAATACATAGGATCAAATAGATCAATAGATCAAATACATAGGATCAAATCAATAGAATCAAATTATGAGAATAAGATAAATAGTCAAAGGATATGAACAATTTCAGAGAAAGAAAACCAAGCTATCAATGGCCAAGTGAAAAAAAATGCTGTCACTATTAATTAGAAAAATGAAAATTAAAATAACTCAGAGGTACTATCTCACAACCATCAGATTGACAAAATTGATGAAAAAAAAAGAGAAATGACAAATGCTGAATGGGCTGTGGGAAACAGGTACTTTAACACATTGTTGGTGGAGTTGTGAAATAGTCCAACCATTCAGGACAGTAATTAAAAAGTTATTAAGCTGTTTATACCCTTTGATCCAGTGATATTGCCAGTAGGTTGCTACCCAAAGAGATCAAATAAAGATGAAAAGAACCCACATATACCAGCTTTTTTTTTTTTTGGTGTCAAAGAATTAAAGATTGAGAGTATGCCCAATATTGGGGCATGGCCAAATAAATTATGGTATACAAATGTATGGAATACTATTTTACTGTAAAAAATGATGAATGGGATGGTTTCAGAGAAACCTGGAAAGATTTGTATGAACTATTGTAAAGCAAATTGAACACATCTAGGGGAATAATTTATAACAATAATAACACTATCAGGATAGTTAACTTTGAAAGACTTAATAATTCTGATCAACACAATGACCAACCACAATTCCAAAAGAAATATGATGAAATATACTATCTACTTTCAGATAGAAAAGTAGTGGACTGAGAGTTTAGACCTGGCAGGGATGGGGAACCTGCTGCCTCAAGGTCACATATGGCCCTCTAGGTCCTCATGTGTGCCCCTTTGATTGAATCTAAACTTCACAGAACAAATTCCCTTAATAAAAGGATTTGTTCTATAAAACTTGGACTCAGTCAAAAGACCACACCTAAGAACCTAGAAGGCCACATGTGACCTTGAGGCCACAGGTTCCCTCCACCCTGGTTCAGACTGAAGCATTTTTTCTTTCACTTTCTATTTTTTTCCTTCCTCCTTTCCTTCCTTTCTTTTTTACTTTCCTTCCTTCCTTCCTTCCTTCCTATTTTCCTTCTTTCTTTCTCTTCCTTCCTTCTTTCTTTTCTTTTTCTTTATGAGTATTTTTTTTTGGGACATAGCTAATGTGGAAATTTGTTTTGTAAGACTACATACTTGTAACGGGTTTTGTTTTTCTTGCCTTCTCAATGAGTTGGAGAAGAGAGGAGAGGAGAGAATTTGGTACTGAAAATAAAAATTGAGTTAAAAAAATACAAAAAGAAGAAGTTTGACTATGACATAAAAAGTAAACTTTATTTAGATATCTATAAGACTATAATCTTCCCATGCAAAAAAAGATAAATATACAAAATTTACTAGATATATAAAATTAGGAATGATGACTGCTATTGAGATTCCATATGTATTATATATAAATATATACTTATATTAACTTGTATGGATACTGATTACTTACTGGTTCCTGTATCAGCAATCGATTCTCCATAATGTTTTGATTAATTTGAGGGACTATTGGCCTTTCTCCAGTGTAAAGACCTTCATCTTCAAGGTATCTTGGTTGCATATTTTCAGGGATTTTTTTATAAATAGGTACTAGGTAGAAAAAAATCAATATCATACTGTGCTTTCAAACTATTTAAAGAGATATAGTCTATTGAGAGGTAGTATGGTATAGTGGAAAAAGAGATGGATTTAGAATCAGGAAAGCGTTCAAATCCCTTGACTGATACTTGTGTTTTTTAAGGCAAATCCCTCAACTCTTCTGAGCTCTTCATCTGAAAAATGGGAATAATAATATACTGTAAAGACATATCATGAGAACAAATGAGATAATATGCAAAAAAAGACTTGAAAACATTAAGTAGTATACAAATACAGTTGTTATTACCATTGTTAGTCTATTAAGCTGTTCTTAATTTTATGATGACCTGAGACAAGATTTGCTATTTCTTTTAAAACAATATATTTTTCCAAGTTAATTTTCTGGACTTGATATAATAAAAAAGCTAAATGTGTAGATTCATAAAATCAAATTATATAAATACATGTTCCGATTCTATGCCTCCTAAACTTTTAGATGTTCAATTCACTGCTCGTCCAATATGCTACCAGTGTGACCTTCAGCAAGTCACTTTTTCTATGCCTCACTTTCCTCGTCTGTAAAATGAAGGGGTTGAGCCAGATGAACTCCATGGTATCTTCAAGTTGTAATATTTGTTATACTTTCTGTTTTTTCCCCCTTAAATACTGCTCCATAGATTGAAATTTCTTGAGGGCAGGAATCATAGCTTATTTATCTCTGTATATTCCTTAGCACCTGGTATAGTAGGTTTTTAATAAATGCTTCTTGAATGAATGAATGAGTAACTATTTTGTGGTGAGGCAATATAGATGTGATCTTACATTCTTTTTCTGTTTGACCAACTTAAGACTTTTTTTCTTAACATTTCAAAGTTTTCAGTTCCACATTCTATCCCTCCCTCCCATCTTCCCTTCCTGAGATGGTAAGCAATCAGATATAGGTTATACATGTGCAATTATGTAAAACATTTCCATATTAGTCATTTTGTACAAGAAGACTCAAATAAAAGAAAAAAAATGAAAGAAAGAAAGTGAAAAATAGCATGCTTCAGTCTGTATTCAATCAATATCAGTGCTTTCTCCAGAGGCAGGTAGTATGCTTCATCATTAGTCCTTTGGGATTGTCTTGGATCATTGCATTGCTGAGAACAGTTAAGTCATTCACAGTTTTTCATTCAGTAATATTTCTGTTACTGTGTACAATGTTCTCCTGTTCTGTTTGCTTCACTATGCATCAGTTCACGTAAGTCTTTCTAGGTTTTTCTGAAATCCAGCCTGTCATTTCTTACAAGACAATAACATTCCATTACAAGCATATACCACAGTTTGTTTAGGCATTCCCCAGTTGATGGACATCCCTTTGATTTTCCAAATCTTAGCCACCACAAAAAGAGCTGCTATAAATATTTTTGTACAAATAGGTCCTTTTCCCTTTTTTTGTATGTCTTTGGGATATAGACCTAGCAGTGGTATTGCTGGATCAAAGGGTATGCACAGTTTTATAGCCCTTTGGGCATAATTCCAAATTGCTCTCCAGAATGATTGGATCAATTTACAACTCTACCAACAGTGCATTAGTATCCCAGTTTTCCCACATCTCCTCCAACATTCAACATTTTCCTTTTTTGTCATATTAGCTACTCTGATATGTGTGAGGTGGTAACTCAGAGTTGTTTTAATTTGCATTTCTTTGATCAATAGTGATTTAGAACATTTTTTTCATGTGACTATAAATAGCTTTGATTTCTTTGTCTGAAAACTCCCTGTTCATATCCTTTGATCATTTCTCAAATGGGGAATGACTTGTATTTTTATAAATTTGATTCAGGTCTCTATATATATAGTTTGAGAATTGAGGCTTTTATCAGAGATACTTGTTGCAAAAAATTCCCCCCAGTTTTCTGCTTTCCTTATAATTTTGGTTGCATTGGTTTTGTTTGTGCAAAACCTTTTAAATTTTATACAATCAAAATTATCTATTTTACATTTTGTAGTGCTCTTTTTATAGTGTTTGGTCCTAAATTTTTCCTTTCTCCATAAATCTAACAGATAAACTATTATGCACTCTCTTAATTTGTTTATGGTATTACCCTTTATGTGTAAATTTTATATACATTTTGACCTTATCTTGATTTACGGTGTGAGATGTTGTTCCACATTTTGCTGCAAATGATGCTGTTTACAGTCAGATAGCACCTCCTTCTTGCTAAATATGCAAATCTCCTAGTGGGTGCCCTATTGGTTACATACTAGTAACTCAGGGTCTAGAGTAGGTGAGAACATTAATGTAACATAGAGAAGCTCTGAATAATATCCCTGAATCCTGTGACTGTTGCTTTGATTCAGCCTAGATGTAGATAGTGATGTGAAGGTCTAGGGGAGAGGGGAAGGAAAAAGGAAGGATGTAAACTAACCCTATTCTTCAAAATTTTCCAATTAGCCAGGAAAAAATGGAAATATTTTCCCCTTGGTATCTAAATTCTTCTTTCAGCCCACTTTAAAGAGACAGTCCATGGTGAACCTGAACTACCCTTATTTCCTGTACTCTCAGTCTCTTCCACAGTGTCTCTAGTGTTCTTAAGGAATAACTCAGATCCATATCAAATCTAGCTTTCTAGGACTCTCTTCAGCAAATCAGAAGTCTTGTGTGGTGTTCCCTACTGACCTGCCTTCTCAGCGTTCCTCTAGTCTGAAACCTTGCCCAGATCCTAAGCAGACCCCTACTCTCTGGTGTCATTTATGCTAGTCTCTCGAAGTACCTAATGGTATAGGAGCAACAAAGAACTCAAGTCTCCTTAGAGATTGTTCTAAGACAACAATCATATCTCTGACTTCAGTTTCCTTCCTCTGCGGGCATTTCCAAAGACACTGTCCTCCGATTTCTCTTCTTTCTCTTCACTTCCCTCTCAGAGATATTATCCATTCCCACATCTATAATTAGCTTCACAAACTTTCTGGGCTTCTCACATAACTCTCTTCCAATTACCAATCTATTCTAAAGGGATACTGGGAGGATTAAGAAGTTATAGTTTTCTTAATATCTGAGATTCAACATGTCATATAAAAATGAAATTTTATTCTTTTAACATGATTCTACATTTAATGGAATTCTTATAGAGCTAAAATTTCAGGCAGAGATGATTTGAGAAAAAGTAGTCACAAGAGGAAGAAAGGAATTTGAATTTGTAACTGAGCTGGTGAAATACTTCAAATTACAAAGACTGAGAAAAGAGTGTTCCCTCATGATAATCAATCACTGTAACCCACCATCTGGTAATGAATATTTCTGGCTTTTTTTCATTCTCCTTTTTTCAGAGATGAAAATAATTTTTCAAAGAAAAAGATAAAATGGGTTAGAAATCAGAAGTAGTCATAGTAATTTTTTCTTTTAAAAAGAATTCATCTAGCATGAGTTTTGATTGTTCTTAAACATTGGTCTTTAGAAATATATGTTGTAAATCATTTAGGCTGTTAAACTGAATGTGTATTTTATTATATTTGTAGGAAGATTTTTTTTTACTAACTTAAATGAGAATAAAATATCCACCAGTTATTTAAATCTTAGGAGAGCATGTAGAAATGGTTTATCTGTCAAAGCTAAAATCTGTCAACCAGGTAAATGCTCATCAGTATTCCACCATTAACAGAACTGATTACCAAAAAGAACATTAGTGATTAATTAGTTCAACCTTCCATTCAATGCAGGAATCTTCTGTTTTTACAACTTCCCCTTCCTTACTGTTCACTAATTCTTAAGGCCTTAGAATATAGCTTTTGCCCCCATTTCTTCAGTGCATCTTGTCATTTGACTTCAACATAGACTTCTTAGTCATTAAATCGAATGGACTTTTCACAGTCCTCTTTGATCTAAGGACCTCCTTGACTGACCTGTGGAATATCCATCCTTATCTTCTCTCCTGTCTTTGTTTCCATGGAACTATACTATACTTATTCTCTTATCTCTATCATGTATTCTTCTATCTTCTGCCGCCTTTTACTGTCTCTTCTTATGTCCTATCAATGTGGGCATTCCCCAAAATTCTGTCTTCTCCCTTCTCTTCAGTCTTTTCTATTTCTCCCTCAGAGAGCTATCTTATCTATTTACATAGCTTCTAAGCAAATGACTCACAAATCAATGTATTCAAGTCTGATCTCTCTCTCAAGCTCTAATTCACCTTTTCCAAAAGTCATCTTATTCCCTTCTCTTGTCTGAAATCACAAAAGTTGATTAAATTTTCAAGAGATCTTTCTTAAAGTATCAACAAGGGATGCCTCTCCTTTGTCTTCTAATAGATTCTGAAATTAATTTCTCAAGTGAAACTTCCTTGGAATAATTTATGACTATAGAAATATGAAGAGGACCAGTCCATTTGAACCTGAGAGATTTTAATTAAAAAGAGAAAAGAATCACCAGACCATAGTGTTTTTAGAACACTGGAAAATGTTACTAAGTGAGTTTTTTTTGGAATATGAATATTTAAAAAGTAGGACAGATATTTCATGTCTACAGTCAGGCAAAGCCTGAGTGTAGTCAAGGAGTAGATTTCAGTGGCATCCCTTTTATACTCTATGTGATCCACATTTTGTTTTCAAGAAAGTGATCAACAAGCAAGAGAGACAAAATGGAAACATCCAATACCTGTATGAGAACTGGGTCTGAAGAGAATTTCTTTTTCCTTTTGCTTTACTGCATGGATGCTTTCATATTCTGCAGCTTTTATTGCCAGAAAATCATGGGCTGTCTGATCTAAGTCAAGCAAGAAGTCATCAGCCTCTTTCTCATTAATAAGCTCCTCTTCATCCTATAATTGCATTAAATAAAAAACTTTGTTCATACTGTATTTTGCTATTAGTTTTCTTAGGAAAGGAATTCTTATTATAAATTAATGTTTTAACATATCTCACACTGAGTTCTCTTCCTATTTTGTTTTTTAAAAAGCTTAAGCCTAATTGTTGCCTCTGATTTCAATTCCTTTTATAATCATCATCATTATTATGAATTATAACTCTCATATACATATATAGATAGGTTACCATCAAAATAACATCACAGCTGTTTTTCAAAGCTTTGAATTGGGTCATGGTTATGAAGTATTAATGATTTTATTGCCAGTGGATGTCATCAAGTCCCCTTTATGATGGATATGTCTGTATTTAAAAAAAAACCGCAAAATGACAATGTGGGAGATGTGAGATTCAATGAGTCATGCTTCCTTTGAGAAGAGATTGTTTATTTTTCAAAGCTTCTTAAGAAGCCTGTAGTAATAAAATGGAAAAATTATACCACTTGGCCTGCAAGTTGTACCTGTTACTATTGATTTTTGACCTAGTATATTCTAATTATTCCCGAACTTTTCCATTTTCCTCCCATGAGGCTTTTGCTACCCAAGCTTTGAGAGAGAGAGGGGGGGAGAGAGAGAGAGAGAGAGAGAGAAAGAGACAGAGAGAGAGAGACAAAGACAGAGACAGAGACAGAGACAGAGAGACAAAGAGAGAGAGAAGAGAGAAGAGAGAGACAGAGAGAGAGAGACAGACAGAGAGAGAGAGACAGAGAGAGAGAGAGAGAGACAGAGAGAGAGGAGGGAGACTACAAAGATTACAAATCTTTGACAGGGAAAAAGAAAGAGTGAAAGATACATAATCAAAACCTCCAAAGTCATGAAGTGTTCTGATAGGGACTCATTCACCAAATCCTAGAATTCAGGAATCAGAAGGAAAATACCTGAAGTTTGAAAGGGGTGGTTTTAGGACAAAGCAAAGGAAGTAAAATTTTCTATAGTATGCAATAAACTTAAAAAAGAGGTGGTCTAGGCCAATATGATGAAAAAGGGAATGCAGGATTAACTATGTTTATGGGTGACGTTCCACAATAGGACACTGAGGGAAATGAGGGATCTTTGGGGTCCCTGGGGAGGAGTGCATTATAATACTCTGAGGTTTGTTCATGAGAGATAACCATACATTCTGACAAAACATTTCTTAGTCTCACTGTAATTTCCTGAATGTAGTGTTGGCATAATCTAATAGAGAAATTAAAGTTTTATGTTTTTGTGCTTAAATCACAGAGGTAAAAATTAATGGGAACAAGTCAGAAGAACAAAGTTAATATTACAATGTCTGCTGGTAATCAGCATCCTATAACCTTACTATAATCTGTTATTTATAGAGGAGAATTCAGTGTTAAGTCTCAGGCCCCATGAATCGGGGTTTAATTCAATTACTGCAGTTCCAAGGAGACCTCATTACATTAAGACAGTTCCTCAGGGTGGTATAGTCCCCAAAGATAGCATTGTAGTACAGCTTCTGTGAATTACTGATCTTTAAATTTGAAAGTAAAGAGTTGACTAATTATCTTTAGGTAAAACAGTCATTTTAAATACAATTTTCAGATATGTAACTAATCTTAAAATGTTAAAGGCACAGGAAACTGGAACTATTGTCAGATGCTGAGTAGGATATACTTTTGATTTGTAAGAAAAGTGAATAATTAAAATTTGAAATTTGGCATTTAATTTGTAAATACTAGCATTCTGGGGACATGAAAAAGTTTTCATTCATTTACACTGGAAAAAGTTGACTGTTGATATCATAGGCATCCATTTCTTTCTTTCTTTTTTCTTTTTTGCTTTTTGGTGAGGCAATTGGGGTTAAGTAACTTGCCCAGAGTCATAAGGCTAGAAAGTGTCAAGTATCTGAGGCTGGATTTGAAATCAGGTCCTCCTGACTCCAAAGCCAGAGCTCTATCCATTGTACCACCTAGCTGCCCCTATCCATTTCTTTATAGAATACATACATCTAAACCAATTTGGTTGTAAACTAAATGTCAATAAAGTGAACCCAGTTTTTCATTCCTTTGTAGTGTAAAACTGGAAGAATGTTTGTCAGAATAAATTCTCCCTACACTGAGTCAAAAATATTTCTTGTAGGTTGGTCATTATAGCATTTGCTTCTTGGAAGTTGAAATCCCTGTCTAGTTGTTCAAATGTTCCTTTACAGCGTATTTAGGACTTTGTGGCTCTTCTCTCTATTGCTAAGGCCCTACATTCACTTCCCCAGGCCACAGACCTTTCTTTCAAAATTGGACTCCATTTTGTTCTAGCTACATGTCTGTGAACTTTTGTTCTGCCTATTTTTGCCTGAGTTTCAATGTCCAATGGAACTGGGATATACATACATACGTACATACATATTTACATAAATCAGTGTGTATGTTTGTGTGTATCTTTGGCAGTAGGTGCTACCATCTGACACGATACATTCTAGTTCCAAAATTCCTTAGCTTCAAAGTTTTAATTCATTTTAAAGAATTTATTCCCTATTTTATATACAATACCAGCTAAGAAATTTATATTTTCCCTCTTAAAATCAGGGATATATGTAGCATGCTGCTTCTTTTATAATTGCAGTGTTATCTGTGGCTGTGAGCCCTCCTATGAAACTTTCAGGCTTAGTCTGTACTTTACTCCTAAGTTCTTGTGACTATTTTTTTTTTGCCTAAAGTACTTAAAAGCATGTTCAAGACAGGTAGTGATTTTGTCATGTGAAGAAGATATGGAACTCAGTGTGTCTCTAAGTTCAAGTCAGAAATATTAGAAAGAGGTTTCATACTAGACCGGGGGTTGGACCAGATGACTATTATGATTTTATCCAATTATGAAACTTAATGAATTATAGTGTATCTTAGCCAAAGGCTTCTGGACTTATCATAATTATAGACTTGAATTTTCCACTACAATCATGAACTAGTTAGTGTCTCCTCCTGTAATAGCATTGAACCTGGTGTCTTGAGGTGTAAATTCACTAAAACCTGAGCTCTGGCAAGTAAAATGGTAGGAGCATGATAAGGATTCTCTGAGAGGACGAGACTGGGTAAACTCAGAGAAATTCATCCCCAAAAGATTGACTACTAGGTCAATATACTTTTGGCAATAGTAACTTCAGATTTGTTAAGGTATGGAAAATTTATGACTTGCATCAGTGGAGGAAACATTCTACTAAAGAAACTGTCAATTCTTAAAATAAAAATAACTGAAAAAATGAATTTGAGATAGTGTTTAGACACTCTAAAATTAGGTCTGCATCTTTCTTCAATTTGGGGATTTGAGTAATGAGTATGGTCTAAGAAAAAATATTCTTGAGTTGCATATAGTGCAAACAGCACACAAAGTCAGTGAAGTTTTATTCCAGATGCCCAGCATGTTGTATCTCCTAGTAGAATAGCAACTCTTTGAAGACAGGGGATGTCTCACCTTTGAACCTGTCAAGGTACCTTGTATTCTACTAGTTGGTTAATAAGAATCTGTTGAAGTGAATTAGTTTGTACAAGGAACCCAAGACAAAAGAGAGCAGATCTCTGTCCAAAAATTCAGCTCTGGCCCAAGACTCTTTCTTATGCCAAGGTCTTTTGCTGTTCTAGATGAAGAATTCTTCTGAATTTGTAGAAGGCATTTTAAAAAAAAAGTATAGATTTTGCCTAGAGGCAGTGTGGTGTAATAGAAATAACCGTGGGTTTAGAACTGGGAGGTCTGAGTTCAAATACTACTTCTGATACAGTAGCTACGTGATGCTGGGCAAATCACTCAACCTCTAGAAAACTGTTTTCCCCATTTGTAAAATAGAGATAATAATACATGTTCTACCTACTTCACAGCTCTTTGCTTAGTATCATATTCGAACATATAAATCTATTGGACTGTAAACAAAACTACAAAGGCCATTTTTTTGACTCTTAAGGCTGAAACACTTTCTTCCTAGACAAATGCTAATCACTGAACTGAATTTTAATTCAGCATTATTGCAAAAAAAAAAAGACTCCAAGAATGTATTCCTAAATGAATTTTTTTAAAAGATCAGATTTATTCAGTATATTTACTGATGAAAATCGTAAAGTGATAGCAAGAATCTTCAAGGTCAGTTAACAAGCATTTATTAAGCACCTACTATGTGTCATGCACTGTGCTAAGTGCTGGAGGAGGTAATATATGCAAATTGCTTTATAAATTTAAAGCACTATAAAATGTCAGTTATTATCATTAATATAAAATGAATGCAGTATCATGTGGCCTTCTTATGTAGAAATGACCTACAATCAAGAAATAACTGGTTTACTCTCCTAGCAGTTGGGAGATATTTATTCTGAGCCATTCACTCCTTTGCCTAGGTAGGGTGTCATCATTATTGTGATTTTTGTACCATTTTTTCCGCTTGTTCTTCAGGAGCTGGTTTCTCTTCCTCTTCCTCTTCCTCCCCTTCTTCTACCTCCTGATTAGATTCCTCTTTTTTTTGGTCTTTTGTTTCATCCTTTTCTGGTTCAGGATCAAAATTGAAAGTAAAAAAGTTATAGGCTTCTTCTGCAGATGGGAATCCAGGGGGAACCTACACAGGGAGGCAACAGTGTTTTTAGATGATTTAAATTGAAATAACCTCTGTACAAGCAACTAACTAAAAGCAATCTTTATGTGAGCAGTAGTAATAACGGTCCAGTCACCACACAAGATTGGTATCTCAAAAAGTTAGTGGACTATAGACAATGAACTTTAATGAATGGAATTTCTTGCCTCGAGGTGTTCTTTTATAGGTCAAGTTTTGATTAGTTCACTTTTCATGAACCATAAAAAGCTTTTTCTAAACCACACAAATATTTTATTTGTAGCCACGAGACCTGATAATTTTAGCAGTGATTTTCAAAATGCCAAGAACTACTATTTCATAGGTAAATGCTAGAATAGTTCGATTTAATTAATAGTAAGATATAGCTTCCTACACATTCAATTTTAGAAAGGCCAATCGCATCCTAGGTTGTTTGGGTTCTTTTTGGTTTATAGTATATGTAGGCAAGATAATACCTTTTCATTAACCTTTAGGAATCCAATGTATCTATACAGAACAACCTACTCTTCCATATAATATTTCTTTTCCCCTGAGCCTTACGTGAGGAAGAAAACAATGCACAGGGATGAATGGTAATGTAAAACTTGAAAATTGAGTAATTGCTTCATCGTCGTCCTATCCTCTCCTAAAGAAGAAGGAAAACACACTAGTTCTGACCTGTGGTTTGAACTTGGGCTTCCTCCCAGAATCTTGAAACCTGACTCTTGTAGATCTCTGGGAATCTTCCTCTTGTGGTTCCCTTAATACATTTTTGCTGGGCTGCATTAAAAAAAAAAAATTAGCCCTTTAAATGAGTACTTGTCTACTAAAGTCCTTCTCCAACATCTCATCTGGAATGAGGTGAACCCAAATTCTTAAAGGCTATGCCATCTAAGCTCAGTCAGATCTTGTAAATCAGAGAGAAACAAACAAACAAACAAGTATAAACTCGTCCACCAATTTTCTGTCTCTCATCGGAGTACCAGCCGAGCTAAATTTCATTTATCTCATCATCATGAAGTCTGGGCCCTGAAATGAGGAATCACTTTGGCTACTGCTACTCATGAAGATTAGCTAGTAAGGCAATGTGGGTGTGGGGATGGAGGCCAAAATTTGCAAGAATGAATCAAATACCTGCACAGATGGAATAGAAGAGTGGATGAAATACCCACACAGATGGAATAAAAAAGAGTGGATAAAATACCCATATAGATGGAATAAAAGAGTGGATGAAATACCCACACAGATTCTTGCAAGAAACCTTAAACTATTGAAAAGAAAGAAACCTTAAACTATTGAAAAGGCACTAGAGAAGGGAGAAATTAACCCTTGAAAAGGCTTACTTCCTGACTACTGATTATTGTAATTCCTAAGGGATGAATGCAATTAAAAAACCACAAACATAAATGAAAGTATAGTGATCAAATATGGCCTTTTCTTAGTTCTGATCCTTTGTGACTTCTCTGCAGTATTCTCTCTCTGGACAATCTTCCTTCTTAAGTTTTGATGCTCCTACTCTTTCCTGGTTCTTCTATCGTTCTGACAGCTCCTCAGTCTTTTTTGCTAGTTCTTCATCTATGTTCTGCCTATTAATAACAGGTATCCCCCAAGGGTATGTCCTGGGCTTTTTTTCTCACTCTATGTTAGCTCACTCAGATCTTGTCTACTGTCATAAATTCAGTTATCATCTTTATGAAGATAATTCCCAGATCTAGATATCTATCCCCAACATCTCTACTGAGTTACAGGCTCAGCAGCCTTTTAGACCTCTTGAACTGGATTCCTATAGACATCTTAAACTCAACATGACTAAAACAGAATTATCATTATCCTCCCCCCCCACCCCATCCCTTTTTTGAATTTTCCTACTGATGGCATAAAATTGTTGTTCAGTCATTTTTCAGTCATGAATGATTCTTTGTGACCCCACATATGTTTTTCTGAACAAAGATACTGGAGTGGTTTGTCATTTCCTCCTCCAGCTCATTTTACAAATGAGGAACTGAGGCAAACAGGGTTAAGTGACTTGCCCAGGGTCACACAGCTTGTAAGTGTCTGAGGCCAGATTTGAACTCAGAAAGATGAATCTTCCTGACTTCAGGCCCAGCACTATTCACTACACCACCTAGCTACCGCACATGCATGATATTCTGTTTTCCAGTCCTTGAATGCACTCTTTCCCACATCTCTCTCCCTTTGTTTTCCCGGTGTCTTTCGAGTGTTCCCAGCTTCTGCACGAAGCCTTTCCTGGTCTTTGCTTCCCTACGCTTACCCCAGAACTCCTTCTCCAAAATGCTGGGACCTTCCCCTCTGAGATTATCTCTCATCTACTCTGTAGAGATTATCCTGCATGTACTTTCTTATTTACTATTGACTCCCCCATTAGAATGTGAGTGCCTTTGGGGCAGGGATAGGATTTATTTTTCTTTTTTCTTTTGCTTTCTTTGTATCCCCAGTCTTAGTGCAGTGTCTAGCACATAATAAGCACTTAATCAATATTTTCTGATTGACTGAGTGAATGTTTTTAAAGCCACTACTCAGTTCTCTTCGTTGTATATGATGTGTTCAGAAGACTCATATAGAAGGAGGCAATGATGGGTAAGGAAGGGAATGTGAAAAAAAACCCTGGATTGGTAGTCAAAGGATCTGAACCTTTGCTTTTACTGCTGTGTGAACCTGACAAGACAGATCTATTCTCCTCTCTAGATTTCAGCGTTCCCCTCTGGGGAGATAGACTAAATGATCTATAGAGTCCCTTCCAACACTAAACCCTACAATCCTATGAATTAAGCCAATATATTAAATAACATTTATTAAGTGTCTATTATATTTCAGGAGGCAGCTAGATAGCTCAGTGTATAGGGTGCTGCACCTGGAGTCAGGAAGACCTGAGTTCAAATCCGGATTGAGATACTTACTAGCTATGTGACCCTGGGTAAATCACTTAACTTCTCTTTGCCTTAATCCACAGGAGAAGGAAATGGCAAACTACTCCAGTATCTTTGGTAAGAAAACCCCATGGATGGTATTGGCATGCTATGGTCCACAGGGTCACAAAGAGTCGGACACAATTGAACATGTCCTACACACTGAATTCAAAGACAGAAAATGAACCAATCTCTTCTTTCAAGGGGTTTATATTTTTTCAGGGCAGACAATAGCTACATATATAAATATATACAGAATAAGCACAAAAATAAATACATGGTGGTTTAGGGAGGAAGGGGGCAAGCAGTGGCGAGAAAGAAAGGCTTCATATAGAAGCTGGTGCTTATAGCAGGTACGTGAGCCTTGAAAGAGGTAGGTGATTTTTCAAGGTAGAGGTGAGGACTGAGTGTATTCAAGGGATGAGGGATAGTCAGGAAAAAGGCATAGAGATGGGTGATAGAGCACCATGTTTGAGGAACAGCAAGAAATCCATTTTGACTGGACCACAAAGGCCATTTTGATTAGAATTGCTCTATAAACATCGCAGGAGTGCAGTAGAAAGCTCAGAGAATAGATCATCACCAGAGGTCTGGTGACTATAGGTTAATAATAATAATAACAACAGTAACAGGAATTTATATAGATTTGCAAAGTATTTTATATCCATTATCTCATCTGAACCTCACAACCTTCCTAGAAGTAGATTAACAAATAATAAGGCTGGAAAAATAGGCTAGAGTCTGGTTGTGAAGATCTTTAAAAACCCTTTAGAATGCTTAGGAAGTCTTACTTTTCTATTTGTATACCTAGAACACATGTTGAGTACTTAATAAATGTTTACTTATTCATTTATCTTAGAGCCAATAGGAATCCACTGGAGTTTCCTGAGTTTACTGAATACTCTATTGTGAGGCATCTTGGCAGTGCCATAGTGCACAAAGAACCGGGACTATAGACAGGAAGACCCGAGTTCAAATCTGCCCTCAGTCACTTACGAGCTATGTAAACCTGGGCAATTCATTTAACCTCTGTCTGCCTCAGTTTCCTTAACTATAAAATAAGAATCATAAATAGCATCCACCTCCCAGGGTTGTTATGGGGATCAGATGAGATAATACTTGTAAAGTGCTTACTCCTGTGCCTACAACATAGGAGGTGCTTAATAAATCCTTTTTCCCTCTCCTAGGGAAGTGCTGTATTCAGACCTACACTTAAGGAAAATCACTCAATATATGGTTATTTACTCTTGTTCACAACAGGAGTATATCTAAATAGCCTATTAAATCAAATATAATAATACTAGCTACCATTTGTAGTTGTAAGGCTTGCAGAGAGGCAGCATAGAGAACCAGTCTTAAAGTCAGAAATTCTGAATTCTAGTCCTGCCTCTGATGCATATTGGCTGTGTGAACCTGAGTAAGTCACTGAACACTTCAGTATTCTCTGCAATTCTCTAAGACTTTAAGTGGGAGAAAAGGAGCCAACCTGCATTGGCAGAAGGAGTTTCCTCACCTTGGAGTTCCTTATACTAATGAAATCATCAGTCGAGGCCCTATCCATTAAGGTTTATGTATGTCATCTCATTTGATCCTTATAACAGTCCCATAAAGGTAGTGCTGAATACACTATGAATGTCTCATGGTATAAAATGGGATCAAACACACAGGTTTTCAGAGATGCTCTAAAGTCATTCTCTCTCAGACCCAAATGAACCCCTGGAACTTGCCTCTCCTGTTTGGTCCCCTGCTGTTCAGGGCAAGACAAGGATTCCCCGGGCACAAGCAATAGCTGAAGTGACGCTTTATTGCTTTGCTTGTTATTTCTGCTCAAGAGAAAGCACTCACCTCCCCCACTACAGAATTAACATAATAAACATAATCTTATGGTTGAATATAAGATATTAACATCAGTAATCATGCATCAAATATGAATCTGACTGGATACAATACAATAATCATGCTTCAGTTATAATCATAGATCATTTGATTGCACAATAATTGCTTACATTTATATTTTCTCCATCATTTCAGAATAGCCTACCATTTGATTAAAAATATGCTTACTACCCCAACTCCTATATGCTACTCCCCCCTCCCAAATTATCTTTCATCCATGTGGTAGTTCCTCCATAGCTATTACTACTGCCTCCTAATTGGGTCCCTCATTAGCCAGACATTTCATTTTCTTTTTTTTATTAACTTATTTTAAACTTAAATACTAAAACTTAAGTACACAATAAGAACAGAAAAAGAAACATATTATAAACTTAAATATTAAAACTTAAATACAAAATAAGAAAAGAAAAAAAAGCATTGCCATATGCCCAGCAGAATGTAAGAGAGGATTCAAAATATACATCAATAATTTTCCATTTCCAGAAAGCCTATATAATAAATACTACACATTCTTTGTTTCCTTGTAGGTTTTCTTTTGTTCTCTACCATGCACTTTTTACTTTGTTCTTTTCCTCCCCCCTTTCTTCCCCCCCAGAAGGCTACAATTAAGTACAGATATAGATATATGTATATATACACACACATGTGCATATATACATATGTATACATACAACATACATATATACACAAAGATATATGCATGCATATACACATGCATGCATATACTCACATACACATACATATACTTAGTTATCTATAATTATACTCATATACAGAGATACACATTCCTATGCATCTATATAAGACTGTACTATACTTAATTGTCCTCTGTTTCTCTGTGGGTGGATAACCTCTTCCTTAGTAAGTCTGAGTCTTTCCATATTTTTCTAAGTCCACCAACTAGTCATTTCCCATACTGTAGCAATATTCCAACCTTCTACTGTCTATTTTAAGTAGTCTAACACAGTATTGATTAACATGGCTGACATATAGTGTTGTTTCCCTCTTTTTATCTTTTGATTAAATCTATTTTAGCTTTAACTTTGTCTGAGACAGACATTTCACTTTCAACTCATACTGAAGCTGCGTTTTTAGTTATGATTGTCCTTCTTACTTTGACACCTCAAAGTCCATGCTACCATCTCTGAAGGCACTCCCTTTTATGATGAAGAGTATTTCTTTTCTTTTCTTTTTTTTTTTTGGTGAGGCAATTGGGGTTAAGTGACTTGCCCAAGGTCACACAGGTAGTATGTGTCAAGTGTTTGGTCTGAGGCCGGATTTGAACTCAGGTCCTCCTGACTTCAGGGCCGGTGCTCTATCTACTGTACCACCTAGCTGCCCCATGAAGAGCATTTCTTAGTGAACAACTTTATGAGTTAGTGTGGCTCCAGATCTTCATCCTCTAGTGGTCCAGATTCTTGTACTGTTGTGGATTTATTTCCCTCTGTATAATGCTGCTCTCTTACATTCAACCTTCCTAATGCTGTGCTGGTCTAATGACGTCTCTCCATTGCTCACAAATCTTCAATGCTCTCTCCCATTGTCTTGCTATTTAAATTCTTTTATAATCTGGCTCCAACCTTCATTTCCAGCCTTATTTCTAATCAATCCCCCTTATGTGTTCTTTGCTCCAGGCAACCAGGACATCTTTAGGCTTTATTTACACCATTCTCGACCCCTGAAATGCCTATGCCCAATAGTTCAAGCAATAAAAGTCCTACTCATCCTTTAGGGTTCAGCTTGAAAGATATGTTCTCTCTGAAGCTTTCACTTATGCAGCCAGCTAGCACTAACCTTTCCCTTTTGGTTGCTACCATGACATACTACCCATTTTCACCTTGTGCACTTGGCATAATTTATTTTATATTCACATATACATCCTATTCTGGTGAAACAGGGGTTTCTGGAGGGAGTACCCACAACAATGAAATTATAGGTCTTAGAAATTTTGAAGCAAGTGTCTCAGCCTTATCTTTCCCAACTAGATTGTGAGTAGCTTGGGGCATGCTTATCATTGTCTTTTATCTGTTTTTGTTTCTTCTCATACCTTGCAGAGTGCTTTTTGATTATAGGCACTTAATGAAGATTTTTTGAATTGATTTAAATAGAATTAGAGGAAAAATGGGGGTCATTCACTTTATTGCCCTTTGTAGGATTGTGTTTTAATGACTTATGTGATTTAATGCAAGATACCTATCTTATGTCATCTTTGACCTAGTGCACGCTGTGTGCTCTTCATGCTCCAGCTGAACTGGCCTATTGGCTGTTCCCATTATATGAGAATCCATCTCCTGGTTCAATGCCTTTGTATACACCATTGCTCATGCCAGAAATGTTCTCCTTCGTCATCTCTGCCTCTGTCCCACCTCCCTAGCTCTCTTCAACTGTCACTTCTTCAAGAGACCTTTTCTGATCCTGAAAGTTGTTAGTGTTTGTGTCCAAGATCGTCTTATATTTATTTTGCATATATCCCACAATAAGTTACCTGTGAAAATACTTTATCTGTCCAGTAGGATGCAGGCTCTTTAAGGGAACACATTGTCTTATTTTTGATTTTTGTCTGCAGAGCCTAGCCCAGTAGTGCCATAGTAGGCACTTAATAAGTGCTTACTGATTGATACTTTTCTCTGGGCATCAGTTTCTGTATCTGTAAAATGAAAGCATTGGCCTATATGATTTTAAAGTTTCTTCCTATTCTAAATCCTATACCATTTCAATAGAATTTTTAAAATGTAAAAAAAAAAAAAAGAAATCATAGCCTACAGTCTTTCTGTTGGATCCTATTTAGATTTATCTGACTGGAGAAGTCCAAAATAGATTTTTTTTTAAAATAAAAAGCATTAGACATCTCTTCATAGCATAGTTATAGGGACTTTTAATGAAATGCAAATATTATATTTCTTTGTCTATTAATGACAACAAAAGGATTTGAAAGCCTGCCACATTTCTCACCTCTTCGCCAAATTCAGTCACTTCTTCTTCTCTGAGACTTACAAAGTGCCTGGGTCTTGGGCTAGGGATTTCTTGCAGCAAAGCACTTTCTGCTTTGGACTAAAAAAGTCAAAAAGGAAATCATTATCCATGTCATGTCAGTAATACAGAAAGTGAGTCTGTCACTCAGGTCAGAGTTGATGTTAATCAGTAAAAAATAGTCAGGGTTTTCACTCTTAAGAGGTAAATGAGAATCAAATTAATTGTTTAGAAAATTAGATAAAATTCTTCTTGTGGGTAATAATCATCTATGCCAACCTAAAATATCACATTAACATTTGCAACACAAAAGATAAATCCAATATATTCAAATTCATGCAGCATTAAGCAAATGAGCTAGAGAGGAGCTATAGAATTGCAATCAGCATTGAGCAAATTATTAATGTATCCTTACCCGTGCAGCCTTTAATTTTTCTCTCATTCTTTCCCTCATGGAAAATTCTGCATAGCCTGTTCTTGAAGTGGAAGGAATAGGAGGCAAATCTATAACAAAAAATGTGAGAATAACCTTTAGAATTTGAATTTTGTGAAGTCACATCAACAAGCATGTAATAAATGCCTACTATGTGCCAGTTATTGTTCTGGGGATCTAAAAATATAATAATCTTAAATTAGTAGGTAAAAACAGAAAATCCTTGTTCAAACAATAAAAATTGACACATATTTTGCTTTTCAATTTGAAAAGTAATTTCATGTAATATTACATCCCTTGATCTTCACAACAACCCAGTGAGGAAGGCAGGAAAATTATCATTGTTTCTATTTTGTAAATCATCAATATAATAATAACTAACATGTGTACTTTAAAGTTCGCAAAGCCTTTGATTGATACTCTAAGGAATGAATGAATAAACGAATGAGCTTTTATTGTTGTTTGTTTCTGAAGAAAACCAATGACATCAGACAATGTCTTGATTTGCACATGAATTGATTTAAGTGAGGCAGTTGCCCAAAGTCATCATCCTTACTCTCTCTTCCAGAGATATTGAAGTACAGTGGCAAAACAAACGTCAAGATGACTGGTGATGGCGCAGGATGCAGTGGATGACCTTGGTTGCTTCTTTGATGTCTGACGAAGCTCTAAGCATCCCACAGTGCTTACTTCAGCTGCCTTCATGGCTGTCGGAACAAATTGTTCTTATCTGCCCATTCCACCAGGGAAAGTCTCCACATGCTTTGGGGTAGACATCCTCCTAGCTCATCAGTGAATTTGAGGCCTGTCAGTTACCCTCAACCTAGTTTAGCCCTTCTGCCAAGAAGGCCACTGTGCAAGCTACAGCTTCTAGGAGCCACAGGGGAGAGTGTGGTGAGAGGTGGACACTAAAGGTGGATAAGCAGCACTGAAAAGGGCTTGGCAAGTTCTCACACCAGAGGTGCTTGTCCCCATTGAACACCCCATACACCCCTGAGCTTTTAGTGTTTACTATATGTCAGGCACTGGACTAAATGCAGGAAATAGAAATGCAAAAACCAGACAGTCCCTCCCTTCAGGGAACTTAGAGTATAGTAGAGGGAAAAACACATAGAGGAGTGGTAGCCAGGGGAGGGTGGTTTGGTTTGGGAAGTCACAAGGATGGTGAATAAAATAATAGGGCAGTCTAATGACATAGCTTTTCCAGAAGCATTGACAGAGTAGATTTGATTATAATATAAAAGGCTAAAGGTGGAGAAGTGGGAGGTAGCAGGAAGAATCATGGTCCCAGGGAAGAAGTTTGGAGCTGAGTGGCTTAAATCACAGAGCCAGAAATTTAAAAAGACCTTTTGACTCCCAACTCTAACATCCTTTCCACTATGTTATATGTTCCTTGGTGTGGTCCAACCCCTTCATTTTAGGAAAAAAACCTGAGGCCCAGAAAAGTGGAAATGATTTTGCTCGAGGTTGCACCAGTAGTACACAGTAGAAAATTATTATGAACTCAGACCCTCTGACTAGAAACTTCTTTTCAGGATGTTATCCTTCCATCTTATGTATTCTTCTTGGCTCCAGAGGGTAGAACTTGAAGCAATATGTGCAAGTTGCAAAGAGGTAAATCTAGGCACAGTGTAAGCAACACTTTCTTAACAATTAGAACTGTCCAAAAGTGAAATGATCTGCCTTAGTGGTGGTGGTGGTGGTGATGATTTCCTTTTTACCTGAGGTCTTCAAATGTAGATTGGATGACCAGTCTTCAAGAATGTAGTAGAGAAGATTCTATTCAGGTACAAGTTAAACTAAATGACTTCTAATCCTTCCAACTCTGATATTCTGTGATTCTATATAATATAAGCTTCATATAAATGGAAAATAGCATGGCCTGCTGGATAGAAAGCTGGTCTCAGAGTCAAGAAGACCTAGGTTGAACTGACTGTAACATATAGTGGCTGTGTGACCCCCTCCTAGCAAGTCACTTAGTCTCTCAATCATTCATTCAATTAACAAACATTTAAGCTCTTACTATGTGCCAAGCACTGTTTTAAACAATAGGGATATGAAGAAAACAAAATAAAACAAAATAGTCCCGATCCTCAAAGATCTTAGACTGTATTCTACTTCACTGTGCCCCAAGCAATTCTCTAGATTATAAATTGAGAACATATAGATAACCATCCGGGAGAACAGTTATTTCTAAATTGAACTATTAAATTTAACCACTATGTATCTTGGAGTTTGCAGCCTTGGTTTCATTTTCTTCTTGGAGTGATCTATGAATTCTTTCAATTGGAATTTAATTTTCTATGTGCAGAAATTCTGGGCAGTTCTCTTCTATTATTCTCTTTATTAAGATTTTTTTTAACCCTGTCATGTTCTTCTGGGAGACCTATGATTCTTAGGTTGTTTCTACTCATCTTGTCTTTGAGATCAATATTTTATTTGCACAGTGAGTGTATTTTCTTTTAGTGTTATTGTCTTTTGCTTCTCTTCTTCGAGAGTGTCCTTTATTTCTGTACATTTATATTCCCAATCTATTGTTCTCTCTTTTGTTTCTTTGGTGAGGCTTGCCATTGCAAATTCCAGTATTTCTATTCTGTCCATTATTTTGGCTGTGCAGCACATAAATCCTGCTGTCATAATCCTCATTTCTCTTTTGAACCAATTAGGAACAGTGTAATGTGGTTCCATGTTCTCTTCATACTCCAAAATTCTGTCTCATCAAATGTTGGATTGTTTTCCTTTGTTTTGTAGTATTTAATCACAGATGCTCAAACTAATTTACTAATCTGGAGGCCATATTTCCTTCTGTTATTAATGTTTTTCCTATTGTTTGTCCATTTGTCCATTGTCCTTGTGTCTAAGGTCTTTGAGTTTTCTTCTTGAAATCTTTGGCAATTTCAGTCTATTTTTCCCCTTATTTTCCCTATCACATACTTTCTGACTCTATCCCCTCTGTGATTTTCTTGGGGACTGGATCTCAAAGCCCACTCCTATACTGGCTGACTTGTAGCTCACCAGTCTAAGTCTATGTCCCAAATGATGTTTGGGTGGTCAGAACTGACCCTGGCTGATTATACTCTTTCCCTCAGGCTTTGTTGAGCACTTCTTCCCTAACACACACACACACACACACACACACACACACACACACACACACACA